GGCGATGAAGATGAGTACATGGCTCATGAATATGGTTAATGGTTAATGGTTTGTTCTACTTGTAGTGGGAACAAACAGAAGAAATGTAGTTCCAATATAGGTAATAAAAACCTGAAATTTATACATTTGTAAGATTTCTCGTCTGCTTTGAACACGTAGTTTGATCACCTCCCAAAGTCTTGCTAGACAAATTAACCGCCCTTCTATCAAGTTCTAACTTCTAACTATCATCTATCAGATCAAATACATCAAAGTTGTTCTTCACAAAGGTGAAGATGAAGATTAAGAGTACATGGCCCATGGGGTCCCTAACTCTGAGACTGTTGAGAAATGTACTGGTAACAACATAATTACTGTTAGGGCAACAAGAATCTTGTACATACTGATGAGGTTAGGTATATTTGATCCACAGGTTGCACAGGAAGAGGAGAAGTAGTATGTCCAACGTGCAACGCCGATGGTGAGCCAGGGTTTTACAAGGAGAATCAGATGATGAAGTGTTCATCTTGCTATGGAAGAGGTTTGATTGCTCATAAAGATGGATCCGACACAATGTAAGTTCATATCAACAACTCAACTTTCACATTGATGGTTGCAAACTGTAGCTCCTATCTAAAGAAAACCTTCTCTTCTCCACAGATGCGCTGCTTGTAACGGTAAGGGAAAGCTTCCTTGCCCAATTTGCCAGTCTCGCGGATTAATCAAATGTCAGTCTTGTAACGGTACTGGTTCTCTTCTAACAAGCAGTATCGCAGTTGTGAGATGGTAAGTTTTTCTCAAATGGCTTTGACCAGCAATTGAAATTGGCTATGAGTGGCTATTGAAAGATTTGCTTTCTTGACAGGAAGACTTTCTCGAAGCGAAAGGTGAGTGCAACAAGAGGAGCTGGTTTGGTACCAGAAGAGATATTTCACAGAGCAGAAGGAGTTTCAGCCAGCTTACTTTGCAGACTCATATTTCCTCAACAAATTCTCCTCAGAGGTCATCTCGTTGAGAGCTGAAGTTCCACCAACGGCGAATGTGGTCTGCGAGATACACACCAGATCTGTTGTGCCGTGGGAAAGCCTTCAGCTTTTACATAATCGGTTTTGGTAAAGAGATTTACATGAAAGATTATTATCCAGCAAGGTTCTGCTGGGGTTTGTGTCCTTGTCTTTAGTGGTTAAAGGTTTGAAAACCAGAGTTGATTTTTGATCATCTCGACTTGTTAGTACAGAAACTGAGAGAGAGAGAGATTGCTTGTATACAGAGCGGTTATTGTGTTGTGTATATAATATTGTGGCCAAATACTTAATTAAATCTGGAACTTGAGAGTTTAAAGAAAGCACACAAATTTCTCCAACTTACTAATATGTCATTGTATTTAAAGAAACTTACTAGCTTTAGTTTAATATTTGAAATTCAAATACTAATATCTTATTGTATTTTTTAATTATATTCATTCATACTAAAATTTCACATACTAGATTTTTGTTTTTTGGGTTTTTAATGTTATGCTTGATCTACACATAGGATGAGGAATCCACATAGGAAGGTAAAATACTCGAAAATGATGATTATCCAAAAAAGTTGAAAATATTTGATAGGATTCATTTTTTATATTTTCTAGTAAGTGTAAGGAAAAATGCGCTAAATTTCATTTTAGTAGCAGTTTTACATATTTATTCTCAAATACATGATCGAATCATTGTGAATCTTTAAAATTTTATCAGTGATCATGTTTTATTCTACATAAAAGATTAAAACTCTAATTTAAAGTCATATCTGATCTCATCACTTCATAGTTTAGGCAAAGATAAATTTGGTCTGTTTGTATAAGATTATAGCTACTTACATGGAAACAGTAAAGTTTTATTTCTTAACGTAAAATGCAATTACAAGAAGAAAACATAGAAACTTTAGTTTCATATGAAATCTCTTGTGTTTATTGAAAATTTGGTGAATAATTAAGTTATGTCTTGAAGAAAAAACTAAAAGCTGCTAGAATATGTATAAAATGATATTTAAACTTAAACATATCATCTTCACTTTACAAGTAATGAAGTAAACAAGTGAAAACTTTTATTCTTAAACACGTGACAACTTTCTCCCAAATCGTTTGAAAAGATGTGTCATGAGAATTGCCCAAAATCTGCATTTTTGTGTTTTCTTAATAAATATCCATATAGTTTTAGTGGAAAACAGAACTTTGATTATGTTGATATATATGTTGAAATCTCATAATTTCTTAATAAATGGTTGTATATTCGGCTTGGATTGAATCCACTATGATCGGTTTCGAATTGAATTTAGTTTCAAATTTTAAAATTTTTAATCAGTACACCAATAGGTTCATATACACAATTTACGTCGGCTTTGGTTTAAATATTTTAGTGCGTCGGAGTTGTATTTTTAGTTAAGGTTTTTTCAGACTCATGTATTAATGGTTCAAAGTGGGTTAAATTGTCCTAACCAGCTACCTGCCTTGATTTGAATATAAACTTTGAATTTTTGGTTATCTTGCTTAATGTGAATCCACTAAAATCGGTTTCAAATTGAGTTTATTTTTGAATTTTTGGATTTTTTAATCAACGACACTAATAGTTTCATAAAAAAATACCACGACCACTAATCGTGGAATGTGAAGATCTTTAAACATAGAACCAAGTACCAACATATAAATAATCAAAAGATTCGATGAAAAAATGAGACTCTAAAGACTTTGGAATAGAAAAGTACATGCTTAACTTTAGATTTTTTTTTTTTTGGTTATTTAATGTTATGCTTGATCATACATCCAAATCTACTGAGGATTCCTCATCCTAGGAAGGTGAAATACTCGAAAATGATGATTATCCAAAAAAGTTGAAAAATACCTGATAGGATTCATTTTAAATTTTCTAGTAAGTGTAAGCAAAAATGCACTAAAGTTCATTTTAGTAGCAATTCTACATATTTATTCTCAAATACAAGATCAAATCATTGTGAATCTTTAAAATTTTATCAGTGATCATGTTTTATACTACATAAAAGATTAAAACTCTAATTCAAAGTCATATCTCATCTCATCACTTCATAGTTTAGGCAAAGATAAATTTGGTCTGTTTGTATAAGATTATAGCTACTTATATGGAAACAGTAAAGTTTTATTTCTTAACGTAAAATGCAATTACAAGAAGAAAACATAAAAACTTTAGTTTCATATGAAATATGTTGTGTTTATTGAAAATTTGGTGAATAATTAAGTTATGTCTTGAAGAAAAAACTAAAAGCTGCTAGAGTATGTATAGAATGATATTTAAACTTAAACATATCATTTTCACCATACAAGGAATGAAGTAAACAAGTGAAAACTTTTATTCTTAAACACGTGATAACTTTCTCCCAAATCGTTTGAAAAAATATGTCATGAGATTGCCTAAAATCTGCATTTTTGTGTTTTCTTAATAAATATCCATATATTTTTAGTGGAAAACAGAACTTTGATTATGTTGATATATAAAAGCTTAATTTTCTACTTACCTATATCAAAGATTGATTTTTTTTTTGTTGAAAACCTAGTTTTGATTTTGTAGATGAAAAAACTTTGGAAGGCTTGTTTTTTTCTTAAATCTACTGAAGACTTGGCACATACACTAATTCGACCAAAACTTTGGATGAGAAATTATTTGAAGCTAACTTTGGAGAAACAAATTTCCAACTATCAGTTGGACAATTTTCATTAATTTCTATTTAAACTTCTCTTAAACAAATTTTTAAAAACCATCATTAACCAAAACAACACCAGTTTATTTTACTTTTTTTTCGACACCATTTTATTTTACTTTAAAATGATAAAATTCATAAATTGATGTGTAAATCCTTAAATCATGTTTTTCTCGAAATCAAAAATAGTCTTACTCCAAGTTCTTCTTCATTCTCTTTTTAAATTCCAAATTTATGTCATAGTAAACCTGCAGACTTCAGAGGTGTTTTCTATATTAAATTTCATATTATAAAGGTGAAGATGAATAAGAGAATCAGAATTAGAAAATCGATTTGAAGGTTTCTCGATTTTCAGCTAAAAGTGAGAGATCGATGTGCAGAAAAATTGATTTGGGGCTATATTCGATTTAGGTTTAAATTGGGGATTTTTGATTATAATCAAAATGGTGTTTTTTTTGGTTGAATAACGATTTTATCTGGAATTTAATGCTATCTAATGGATATGTTAAGCTAGTTTAGGATGAGTTTATATTGGCATGATTAACAAAAGTAAGAAACTCATGTGTCTTGAAAAGAGTTTATAATTTATTAGGCTGAAATGTTTTACATTGAGGGTTTTTTATAACGAAGCCCAAAAAAGCAAAGAAAAGCCCAAAATTATAAAAAAAAAACATTGAGGGTTTTTTTAGCAATTTTTCAAAATTAGTTCCTCTCTCCCCCGCCGCTTCTCTCTGGGTTTCGGATCCCACTATATATAAGCGAGGTCGGTGATTTTTATTTAACCGTGTCAATCTCTCCGATGTTTATCTGATGTTTACGTTCTAGATCGGTAGCTGCGATTTCGTTTTCCCAAATTTGAATCGGATCTGATTTTTTTTTAGGTTGAAGAAGAATATAAAAAAACAAATAGGAGCGAAATGATGCGGAACATGGCGATGCTGAGGAGAACTTTTGTGTGGTGGAACATCGACAGCTGTCCGATTCCAGCTGGTTTCGATCCTTGTCTGGTCAGTCCGAGGATTGAATCGGCGTTGAAGAAATCAGGCTACTCTGATCCTGTCACCATCACTGCCGTCGGCGACCTAAGAGAGGGAAAGGGCCCTGGTGAAGACGTCCTGCGCAAGCTTTCTTCCGGTGGAATCGCTCTTAAACATACCAAAGGTTAGTCTTATTTCCATCTCTAATTCTATAATTATATTTAATACAAGTATAAATGGATTTCCTCCGTAATTAGGGTTTATGTGCTAAGTGATGCTTTCCTTTACTGAACCAGTACCTACATCGATGTTGCAACTGAGGTGGAAGGGTCCATCTCCGCGTACTCTAATGCTCATATTTGGTGGTCCTGAGGAACTGGAATATTTACCTCGTACACTTCGGTATGAATGACTACGGATTCAGAATTCTTCTGGCATATCATCAACGAGATCCAGCCTGGCACTCGGAAAGCTTTCTAAGTAACGTTCGTAAAGAGTGGCTCTGGAAAAGCTTACTTTCAGGTGTTCGTTTTTTTCCACTCTCATTCTCACACTGTGTGTGTGATCTCTCTCGTTTGAAATATATGTAACCAACCAGCAAAAGCTGTTTGTTTCTGAGCTAGTTAGTTTTTTTTTCTTCTTCTACGTACAGATGATGATATGGATTCAAGGTCTGCGGACAATGAAGACAAGACAACAAGTATTGTTCTTCAGGACAAGTACTCTGAAACTGGTGAATCTCCCTGGTATTGCGACGTATGCTCGTTGGCTTGCAAAAGCTTTGAAGATTTTACCACGCATCTCAAGAGTGGAACACATGGATTTTCTGTAACCCTCTCTCTCTCTGCTTCTAAATATTTGTATCGATACATTTTTTCATTAATTAATTAATGTCTTACCAAATGCATGTTTCCCTTTCAAAGAAGAAATTGCACTGATGTGCATTTGGTTGTTGTCAAGCAGGAGTGGGACCGGTGGGCAAGTAAAAACCTTGTGGATCGTCGTTTCCCTTCTAACTTTGAATGGGGTCGATCAAAGGCAAGTTTCTTCATTATATCTCTCAAGTAATTAGATTTACTAGAAGACCCCTTTCACAACTTTACATTATTGTGTCATTGCCATACATGTTTCCCTTTTAAAGCAGGAGTGGGACCGGCTCAATTGTCTAGACCTGATGGATTGTGTTAGACATATTCCGTATGAACCTCTAGATTATCCCGAGGTGGAGATTCCAGCAAAGGCAAGTTTCTCATGAGATACCTAATCTTTTTAGTATTATTCACCATCGAGTTCCAGCTATATGTGAACGTAGATAGCTTTACTGACTTTGGATTTACTGACTTTGGTTGATGCTCTAAAAACATTCAAGGATCTGTGCAAATGTGCAACACTCAAGGTAAGCCAATCCTCTCTCTCTCTCTCTCTTTCTCTCTCTCTCTCTCTCTCTCTCTCTCTCTCTCTCTCTTTCTTTCTTGTATCGATAAATTTTTTTATTAATTACAGTCTTGCCACATGCATGTTTCCCTTTCAAAGAAAAATTGCCCTGATGTGCATTTGGTTGTCAAGCAGGAGTGGGACGGGATTTGTCTAGAGACCTTCGAGGTGGAGAGTCCATCAAAGGCAAGTTTTTCATGAAATACCTAATCTTTTGGAATTTACCACTGAGTTCCCCATATGTGGAATCGTAGATAGCTTGGTTTTGGATTTACTGACTTTGGTTGATACTCTTAAAACATTCAAGGAACAAGAGTGCAAGTGTGCAACATTCAAGGCAAGCCTCTCTCTCTCTCTCTCTGCTTGCTTCTAAATATTGTATCGATACATTTTTCATTAATTACAGTCTTACCACATGCATCTTTCCCTTTCAAAGAGAAAAATTTCCCTGATGTGCATTTGGTTGTTTTCGAGCAGGAGTGGGACTTATGGGCTAATAAAAATAATGTGGATCGTTGTAACCCTGCTAACTTTGAATGGGGTCGATCAAAGGCAAGTTTTTTAAATATCTCTCAAGGTTGATCAGATTTATCGTTTTTTTTTTTGGAATTTACCGTTGCGTTTAACTAGAAAACCCCTTCACAGCTTACCTTATTGTGTCATTGTCACATGTTTCCCATTCAAAGAATCTATACCTCTGATTTCCGCTTGATGTTGCATTTGGTTGTCAAGCAGGAGTGGGACCGGCTCAATTGTCAAGACCTGTTGGAACGTATTCGTCTTCGGTATTACCCTCTAGATACTACCGAGGTGGAGAGTCCATCAAAGGCAAGTTCCTGAGATACCTAATCTTTTTAGTATTATTCACCATTGAGTTCCAGCTAGATGTGGATGTAGATAGCTTGTTTTTGGATTTACTGACTTTGGTTGATGTTCTAAAATATTCAAGGAACAAGAGTGCAACAGTAGGAAGACTGAAGTGGAGGAGGGACTCCGAATGCTCATCTAGAGGAGGACTGAAATAGACGAAGAAGAAGAAGAAGAAGAAGAAGAAGAGTACATGGCCCATGGGGTGGTGGTGTTATTATGCTTTTTTCTAGTCTCGTTTTTCATTTTAAGTTAACTGATACCTTTTTTTATCAACATCCTATTAAACTCATTCTCGACACCATGTTTTGGTGATCGGATATTTGATTAATAATAGTATGTTCGATACCGTCGATTAGGGTTTTCATAGGTCGTCAATTGATTAATAATGCGACGAATACGTTCGATTAGGGTTTTCATTGGTCGTCAATTGATTAATAATGAAGTTGTGATAGTAAAAACTAACGTTAGAGGTACACGCATCAAAGTTTGAATGTTCGCGGTACTGCGTTCGAAGATAATGTTTTATTGATTTCTGAATGTTCGACAATAAATAATTTCGCGGTAATCCTCTTAAGTTATATTGATTTTAATAGGATAAGATAGGATTATTTTATTATGAGAGTTTTCTTAATTTTTTTTTTTAAATTCTGTTTCATAAAAAATGTTGTTTTGATTTTTTTTTGTCTTAAAAAGAGTATCATTCTATATTTTTAATATAAGTTTTTATTATTACTAAATTTTACGTCCACACTACACGTGAATATTTTGTTAATAAAAATTATATGCAATTAATTATATTTATTAAGATTAAATTATATATATTAATGTTTTAATCATATATTAAAATATTATAGTGTTGATCAAATAATTTTTATGTAAATTGTGATGTTTTAACGGTTTTGTTTTGGTCAAACATTTATAAATTAATATACTAACACCAACTAAATTTTTTACAAATTAATCAAATGTTATTTTTTACACAGTGTTAACATGATAATAAAATATTATACATTCATTTCTTTAAATTAAGAAGATATTTTTTCCATTATTTTCACTTTTATTTTAATTATATATATGTTCTTTAAAAATAAAATTTAAAATTTAATCTTTTTTTCTCTTGTTTAAAATTTTTTAGATATATTAATTTAAAAAATAAACTAATAAATAAAATATTTGCTTTGAGATTATTAACAATTTTAAATTTGATACCAAAACAATAATTGAATATGAAATGAATAAAATCACACAAAATTTGTGAATGAATATAATTATGTCAATTGGTAGTGTAAACTTTTAAATAATTTTCAATGATTATATGTCATCTCTTCTAATAAGAATGAAATTGTTTTTTCATCTTCTTCATTTTTATTCTTGTTATATCTGTTTTTTCAATGAATTTATTATATTTATTTATTTTAATAATTTTTGTATGATTATATTTAGTTTCATCATATTCATTCTAACTTCTAATTGTAATTAAGTAGACAAAACCAGTACATACAAATTTATAAAAATAAAACAAATCAAACAACTCAAAACTAAGAACTCATACATTAATATATTGAATTCCAAATTGAATATATAAAATTTATTTTTTGATAATTTTTGGAAAAATAAATTACATGAGAAAAAAATATTACATATTTCGATAATATGTTTTGCATATGTGAAAAAATTAGAAGAATATAAATCATAAGTTTTAGTTATTTAAAATTCTACATGAAAACCTTTAAAATCAAGTAACTTAAACTTGTATAAGTAGCATATCTTTTTTATAGATAATAAATAAAATTTGTGATTTAAACATTAGTAATGGAGATTTTAATATTATGTTGTTTTTTTTTATAATAGAGATTCCTTTATTTTTTTCATATGTTTTTTTAATCATAATAATAGAATTATAAAACTTTTAAATTTATAATTTTAATATATACGAATAAAAATGAATTTTTAAATGCTGATGTGGATGCTTTGAAAATAATATAGCTTTAGCTATCATTAATAATAGAATAATTTTAATTAACAATTTTTCTTATATTATTTAGTATTAATAATATAATTTTATAATTTAGAAAAAATTTAATTTTAGTTATTGATGTGGAATAATAAAATTAACCTTTTAAATCTTATGTGGATGTCTTTAGAGGCATATAGCTTTAACTTTTATTTTTCTTTAAATATATTTGTTTGTTAACAATATAATTTTAAAATTTAAAAATTCCCTAAATTTTAAATATTGATGTGGACCAATAAAATTAAACTTTTAAACCATATATGGACATTCTTAGAGACATATAGTTTTAAATTTTATTAGTAATTAGAAATCAAAACTGGAAAATCGCACAAGAGGCCTCTTGCAGCAAGTGATTTTAGCCTTTTCTCTTTGTTTCAAGGCTTACCGAATGTATTCAGATGCTGCTTGGTCAGCTAATTGTTACTTTTGTGGTTCATATTGGGTTGTTAAAACTCATTCAGATGTTATGTCATTTCAAAAATTTTCCTTAGATACCTCAGTCCCCTCCGCTATGTTCTTTTCTCTATTTTAGTGCTTGGTTTTTCAAAAGTGTCGAGTATCAATCACTTGACATGTTTTTCGGATTGCTTGAAATTTATCATTCTTCTCAAATTTGTGGCCAAATTTTGGAGATTTTGCGATTTCTTTTTCAATATTAAAGCGGCTTGTAGTGCTTTTGTTTATATCTCCTTTCATATTTTTCTATAATTTAGCTAATAATTAAACATATAGTTTAGTCAAGTTTGTTCTTGTAGTAGCAAAGACAATTGTAGTCCAAGCATATGACATTCAATGAATTTGAGCGCATAAACTCCACAATCACATGAGCTCCTATTGATCCCAGGCCTCATCGGAACATACTTCACTGTGTACGGTTTAATAACCAGTTGCTTCTTCTCTTTGTAACTTTGAACTTCCTTCACAACTCTAGTGATGATGTTTGTGAATGCATCCACGTACCGGCTGTGTTTGCCCCCGTCGCAATCAAAAACTTCCACTGTTCTCAGCTCGAAATTGATGCACAAAGATATCCAGTGGTTATTCTTGACATTGACCGGAGTATATATACGATCAACGTCGACACCCCAAATTTTGTCTGTTCTTCCATGTGCCGGAAGCGCTCCTAATCCATATTGTATGAGCAACTGGTCCAACTGGTATATTCTTTTATTCATCAGTAATTGTTTGTACGCAGCACCAACTGTGACGCTGAAATTACAGGTCATGCAGCCAACACGAGGATGTGGAAAGCGGTCCAAAGAAGTGTACTCTCGAAATAAGTACATAATTCCATCCATTTCCTGCAACATTAACATTGGTTAACCACATTGGCAAAGTTGAACACGTTATGATTTTTAAGAAAATCAATTTTAAAGGTACTTACCGGAGTGCGCAACCACAATCGTTTATTCATGAGACGATTAGCTACTTCTATATTATACACGAGGGGACCAACTAATAAGTCTCTGAAATAATTTAAAAATAAGAATAATAATAAATAATCAAATACATGTAAGTTCAATATTTCTCTAATTTAAAAGTGTTTATGACATGACTAAAAAAGTGTTTATGTGCTTACTCGCGTGTCCGTGACCACTCCTCTACACTTTCCCAATCGCTTTCTGACACATGAATCAATGGACGATCTGCATCTTCTGACTGTGTCGGATCGTAATCAGCTACAAATGAAGATTGAGAAATTTTGTTAAGTGCTTTTGCGAGTAAAGCGTCTTCTGGATCCATTTCCAGGTCGAAATCCATTTTTTGACTGAGAAGCACGTCATGGAGTTCTGTGTTTCCATCTTTCTGATAATGTACAAAATAGTTCTTGTATTATACGAAGAGAAAAAAAAGTGGAACTTAGGAAATTAACAACATGTGTGAGACAAACATATTACATTATTAACATGACATATTTCAAGTTTACCAAAGTCTACATAACAAAATAGATTTTTCAAGCGTAGTTTCTAAACACACATATTACATTTTAAAAATAATACTACCACACACACAAATCTAACAACTACATTATCTTTTATATTATACAGAACACATCGTAGCCTAAAAAAAAGACATTATTTTTGATTCTAGGGCATCAGGTCTTAGTATTTCTGCACTTCCTTACCTTTTTGGAAGGGTGCGAAGTCTCCCCAATGCTTAGAATAGCACCTGCTGACCTTGTTATGGATTTGGAGGCGGCAATTGTTGACGCTTTAGCAGCTAAAGGGATGACACTGGTAGATGTTTTTGCCGGTAAAGAAATGTCACCAGCTGTGCCTGCGAGTGTGAAAAATAAATGCAATGAGATTTTTGCATATAAAGCAATGAAATAATTTGCAAATGTGTGAAACGTACCAGATAGTGATTTTGCTGCAAAGATGGGAACATCATTGGTATATGTTTTTGCCGGTAAAGGAACGTCAACGGCTGTGCCTGCGAGTGTGAAAAATAAATGCAATGAGATTTTTGCATATAAAGCAATGAAATAATTTGCAAAGGTGTGAAACGTACCATATAGTGATTTTGCTGCAAATATGGGAACATCATTGGTAGATGTTTTTGCCGGTAAAGGAACGTCACCGGCTGTGCCTGCGAGTTTGAAAAATAAATGCAATGAGATTTTTGCATATAAAGCAATGAAATAATTTGCAAATGTGTGAAACGTACCAGATAGTGATTTTGCTGCGGTGAGAGTAGCAGTAGTGAATCCACCTGCTTGGATGGGTTCGATAATCTTCGACTCAAGCATCTCCACTATGTTTTCCATTTTCTTCTCCAATAGCTCTACTCGACTATCAATCTTCATCTGAAGTCTCTCCTCCAAAGCTTTTAACGAGGTCTGCAAAAGTCCTTGGATAAAAGACTTAAAGTCCTCATCGATGGCTTTCGCAGCTGATCGCTCGCACATCATCTTCTGCTTCCGTGTTTCTGCACCAGGTTCAGCGACCCTTTTCTTTCCTCGACTCAAACCTGCAACTGAGCTACCTACAGCAGGTGGTGTCCTGAATTGGCTTTCTTCTGCGACATTCTCATTCTCTTCATCTGTTGCTTTCTAAATCTTGTCAAGAGTTGCAGGTATGGCTTCTTCTACCGCCCAATTATGGTGACTCCAATCTATTCCATCATTGATCATTGTTTTAAGAAGATCCACTCTTGCGTCAGCCATTTCATTAGGCCATACAAAGTCCAAAGAATCAACGACATCATCATTCCCAGTGGAAGAGATATAGTGATAGAGCTTCTCCTGTAAAAAAAATGGGACAATTAGCATGGAAATACAACAAAGCAAAAAAAAAAAAAGCTAAAGAATCAGAAATCACCTTCGTGCAAAACGTATGTTCGATATGCTTAATATCTGAAATTTTCACATAGCTAATGCCGTTCCACTTAAAGCATCTAGCAACACCAGCGATCACATCGTCCAATCTTGAAGACAGCATATATCCGAGAACGGGAATTGCCTCCATGATCCAGATTTGAAAAGCTATTGAGAAGCCATTCAGTGCATAGCCTGTAGATTGCGTCAATTTCACACGAACTTTCTTGATACTCTGCACTAGAAAATCAAACGCTACACGTCCCCATGGGTACTTCCGTAGCTTCTCCAGATCCATAACAAGAATGATATATTCTTTTGGGATATTAATGGTCTTGCTCTTTGCCATTACCAGAGAAGCAATAACATACAAGTACACTAACCGCAACCTGTCTTCACGCATCCATTTGTTGACACACCCAAGATACTCAGTTTCTATGTTAGCCAAAGTAATTCCACGTTTGCTTCTCAACAACTTACTCCAGAACCCGCCATCATCAACCCAATCACTGAAATCACAAGTCTTATCGTCTTCCGTGTTCAGTCCAGTAATCGCATGAAATTCTTGCAGAGAAAATCGAAGAGGTCTCCCCGCAAACACGAACCATAGCTTGTGTTTCTTGTCAGTGATGAGCTCCTTACACAGAAAGCTATGGATTAGTCGCCCTGAAAATCCCATGTCGTTCTCGATAATCGACAAAACAGGTCCAAAGACAGGGTCTAGCAGAACTCTTTTGTATTCTTCTGAAAGTGCTTTCTTAACGGGGTCCATTGTGTTAAGAATGCATCGATTATTGATCTTGTCAATATCATTCACAAAACCAGGCTCGAAAAGCAGTTTCGGAAGTTCCTTGTCCATACCTACGAATAAAAACAAAAAAGACATGGCAAAAAATTTGGCTTCAACTTCATCACGACAAATAATTAAACTACCGGTATATTAATTAAAGCATATAGTATATGGGTTTAACAGTGTCATTTTTTCTTTTATATATTGAATATGAACTTCTTTAACAAAAGCAAAATACTAATCGTTCCAATATTTGTACGCAAAGACACAAACAAAACCAAGTTCATCGTTATACAATATTTAATACAGATTCCCTTTCAAAGTTTGAAATCTTCAAAGATATGCTCTGTCTCAGCTAATTAGTTCATTGTATTTGTAATCAAATGATGGCTTTGATTGATAACTTAGTTTTCTGCAGCGGTTAAGGTTATACCGTTAATTTAGTGAGCAATCACATATAATATAAAATTTTATGTATCGAAATGAATACTACAATTAATTATTCTGTATACCGTTAGCTTATACATAGAGGAATGGTTTATAGATGACATTCAAACTTCCATAAGACAATGATGTAATCTAATCGGTCAGAACTGGTGTTCGACAAATACATTGTTACCTAAAGCCAAAAAAAAAAGTAGCTCAAGGTGCCTAACACGTCAAAGTTGAAACTTATTCAAGCTGATAACGAATTAATTTGATGAGGTCATGTTTTGACATTACAGACAAGAATAAGAAGCAAGAGTAAAGTAAAACAACTAGTACGTAGACTATACAGACATCCGTAAAGACACTAACTACAGAGCTCGACATTCTTCCCAGACAAATCTATAAGTTTAGGCACAAGAATGGATCTCAGAACGTACCTGCTTTACAATGTGCTTCCTAACTTGTTTATGGTAATCTGGATTGCGGAAAAGGTGATCCGCTAAAGCTTGGAACTGGCAAACGAGTATATCATATGAGAACAAACATTTTAAAGTTTCAAAACTTTGAACAAACAACAACAAAATAAACAGAGAGCAAAGACAAATGGCAAAACAAAGAGCTTAGCGAAAAAAAAGAGCATAGCGACAACAACAAAATCAACAGAGAGCAAAGATAAATGGCAAAACAAAGAGCTTAGCAAAAAAAATGGCAAAACTAAGACATCAGTTTACTTCACATGGTGAAATCAACAAGCTATTGTGATCAAAACTTCTATAGAAACCCAGAAAAAGCATGATGAGAAAACTTCAAATAGCTAATGCATGTCAACCATATAAGCGATAAAACACAGTAGAAGAATATATAGCCAAATGAGAAAGGAAGTTGTTTACGACTATTGCGACGGAAACGACGGAGAACGACTATGATGGATTCACGGCAGATAAAGACATGCAAGCTGATTATCAAGGTGGAGAAAGAGTTTGGAATATAGATGCCACTGAATCTGCCTACAATGGAACAAAAACCAAATAATATTAGAAATCACAGAATCAAAATTAAAAAACTCCATATTCGAAATTAGCAATTCTAGCATTGAAAATTGGATAACCCAGAATAATGCATGCAGCTAGAATTGAAATTTACAATCATATATGCGAAACTAATCGAAATTAGACTCAAACAAGTAACAGAAACTGTAAATAAAAAAAACCTCCCCAAATCAATTGAGTATTTGTAAACCCTAAATTCGAAACTGAATGATAACGAAGAAGACAGGCGATGGAGAAAAACAGTCTATATACTGTTTAGATTGTGTCTTTACCTGAATTTGATTTTCCGGTGAAAACATCGATTGTGGGAAGAGTCTGTGTTGAAGATGTTGATGGAGGAGAAAGAGAATATGTAGATGGCTATGTACAGATATTTTTTAAATATAAATTTTTTTAATATAAATATTTAGTTAATTAAATAATTCAAAATTAATGGGCATAATGGAAAAAAAAATTAATAAAACATTATAAGAACAAATGTTTTCTAGAAACCATTAAGAGGACAAATTGTAATTCAATTTGCATTATAAAACCAATTCTCCCTTAAAGAATTGGCGGATAGTATGAGTTGTGAATGTATGAATTGCATAATTTAGCTATACCTGTTGATGCTTGATACTTATATGATATATTATATTTAAGCGTTATTATATTCTATAGCAAATGCTTCTACGAACTGAATTTTATTTTTGTGCAATGAGAAGGGAATAAAAAACTAAAATCTTAATTTACTGCAAATTTTATGGAAAATAGAATTTCATAGAGCGGGTCATTTGATGCAGGAGTATGCAATTGATTACATCATAAAGTAAGACATAAACAATAGAGTACATTTGTGAATGGACAATAACATAGTCAAAGTTGTAAAACAACGAATCAGTAATAGGAAAGAGAAGAGAATAGGACAACTTCAAACCATTTCATGAGGAAGTGCTTTGACGCAGGTTATTTGTTTGTCTGGATTGTTGCAGTGGATTCAAACCATACTTGCAAGTTTGACCTCAGAATATGAACTAAATGTTAAATATGGGTTTATTTGGGAATCTTGTATTTATAGAAATTGTAATTACTCCTTTGATTTCTAGCCGTTGTAGGATCTTGTAATTATGCTTTCTCTTCTTCTTCTATCTTCTTCTTCTATATAAGAAGAACCCATGTATTATATTTTGTAAGATTGAATAAATACTTTTTACATGGTATCAGAGCAAAGTATGATCCTAATGATTTTTTGATTCTTTTTCTTTTATTCTGAAACTATTTTTTTTTTCTTTTTCCCAGCCAAATTACCCTTCGAAATTTTGAAACCCGATAGAAGCGTAAAGCTTACAATTTCTGTTTTGACTCTTATATAAGCTTTTATTTTGAAACGAAAACATATTATTATTATTATTCTCTTTCTTGGAGACGAAAATTTCTCCTTGGTGATATCGAAAAAAAAAAAAAAAACTAGAACCTTTTACCACAAAAGTTTTGTGTGTGTTTCATATATTCTTCGTAATTTACACAAAAAGGATTTCTTTGATCTTGAGCATCAGTTTCAGATTGAATTATTATTTTTATTGACCGACTCTGAAATTTTGAGGAGACGAAGAGATCTGGAATTTCAAGGAATTGAAACTCACGATGGCAAGGGCAGAAGATGGGTTCGTCTCAGGCGATATATAATTTAAGACCCAGCTCAGTGATTTGAACTCTCACAATGGTATAACACTTCATTCCAGAGGAACCCAGCCTCAAACGACATATAATCATGATCCAGGTAATTGTGTTCCTTATGAGAGGCATTGTCTTGGAGAATTAATGCGTGATGCCGAACCGGTAAACGGAAATTGCATGATTGCAAATAAACTATCTCCTACTACTTCTCCTACAAATACATGGATTCTTGATTCTGGAGCTACTGACCATATGACCTTTGACGTTAATGATTTTTCTAAACGTACAAAACCTCGTCGAAATTTTATTGCTAATGCTAATGGTGGTTTATCGCAGGTTACCGGGGCGGGCACTGTCAATATTTCTCCGTCCCTAGAACTTTCTCATACTCTTCTTATCCCGTCTTTAAGTCATAAATTAATCTCTATCAGTCAGATTACAAGAGAATTAAACTGCTTTGCCCTCATATATCCTAACTTTTGTTTTCTCCAGGATATATATTCTAAGGAGATAATTGGACGTGGTACTGAGAGAGATGGATTATATTATGTGGATGATCTCAAGGCTGGACGTAGTCACTTGGCTCATGGTTCTATAGAACGACAAATTTGGTTATGGCACCGACGGTTAGGACATCCTTCATTTTCATATATGAAACACTTATTCCCTACCTTCTTTCGACATTTAAATATTGATACCCTTACGTGTGAAACTTGCATCATTGCAAAGAATCATAGGACTCATTTTTCGCCAAGTTTAACTAAGACTAATGTCCCTTTCATGATCATTCATTCTGATGTTTGGGGTCCAGCACCTGTTTCTAGCTTATCTGGATATCGATGGTTTGTAACATTTATTGACGATTGTACTCGAATGACTTGGCTTTATGTTTTAAAACATAAGTCTGAGGTTTTTAATGATTTTAAAGTGTTTCATAGCATGATTAAAAACCAGTTTAATACTACTATTAAAGTTTTAAGATCTGATAATGGTGGAGAATTTCTTAGTAAGGTTTTTCAGGATTATTGCTCAAGCCTTGGAATAATTCACGAGACAACATGCCCTCATACACCGCAGCAAAAGGGAGTCGCTGAGCGTAAAAATCGCCATATCTTAGAGATGACTCGCTCTTTAATGCTTGAAGCTCATATATCATCATCTTTTTGGGCTGAGGCAGTCACTACAGCGGTCTACCTAATGAATCGGTTACCATCTCGGGTACTTCAATTTAAATCTCCCCTTGATTGTTTATCATCATACCACTCTCTCCCATCAATATTAATGCTACCACCAAGAGTATTTGGTTGTGTTGTTTTCGTTTATGTTCATAAGCATCAGAGAGGAAAACTGGATCCGTGTGCCATTCGGTGTGTGTTCGTCGGGTACGGAGTACATCAAAAGGGTTATCGGTGTTTTGACCCTAAAACTCGGCGGCTATACACCTCCATGGACGTCACATTTGTTGAGACAGACCTGTACTACTCACCCACTTCTTCACTTCAGAAAGAGAACAATGACGAAGATTCAAGTTGGTTATCTTATGACTGGCCCAGAAGTGAAGGAAATGACACATTAATAATGGAAGAACAGATCGAACCTACCCAACTTATCTCAGAGCCTATGTTGGTTGACCAAGATCATGAAATCAGAATAGAAGACACAATGGAAAAGAACACAGAAGCAGGACCTAGTAATTCACATGAGGCAGAACTACAAAATAATTTTGAAGATTGTCATATTCAGGTGGTTCATGGATCAAGTGACACTGGTGTAGAAGATATTGGTGAAAGTTCCAACCTTGACACCATTGATGATCAACCAGATTCAAACCATGATGTTGAAGCTAGTGACAACGTTGACCAAAACCAAACACAGGTAAACATATCTCCTCTTGCACATAAGCATGAAAATCTAAACTCTGGTTATGTGTTACCTAATAGGTCGACGAGAGGAAAGGCACCGAACCGGTACTCACCTGATGTGGAGAACAGAAAATCAAAATATCCAGTGGCAAACTATGTTTCTGGAAAATTGTCTGAGCCGTTGAGATCTTTTACAAGAAATCTATCAGATCATCAAATCCCGAAAGACATGCATGAGGCTTTGCTGGATCCAAAGTGGACTGCAGCCGTACAAGAAGAAATGGCATCGTTGCTTAAGAATGAAACGTGGATACTGGATGAGCTTCCACGGAATAAGAAAACAGTGGGCTGCAGATGGGTGTTCACAATCAAATACAAAGCTGATGGATCAATAGAGAGATACAAGGCAAGGTTGGTAGCAAAAGGGTATACTCAAACCTATGGGGTCGACTATGATGAGACGTTTTCACCGGTGGCAAAGCTGAGCACAGTACGGGTTCTTTTATCATTGGCTGCTAACTTGGATTGGCCGTTGCACCAATTCGACGTAAAGAATGCATTCTTACATGGAGAGTTAATGGAGAATTAGAGGAAGAGGTGTACATGGATCTTCCACCAGGTTATGAAGTTAACACGAGTTCGTCGGTGGTATGCAAACTCAAAAAGGCAATATATGGTCTAAAACAATCACCAAGGGCGTGGTTTGGAAGATTTACAAGCTTCATGAAAAAATATGGATATCGTCAGTGCAATTCGGACCACACGTTGTTCTTTAAAAGAAATAACGGTAAAATCACACTTTTGCTTATATATGTTGATGATATGATCATTTCAGGTGATGATGTTGAGGAGATCACAAAGCTCCAAAGTGCACTAGATAGTGAATTTGAGATGAAAAATCTTGGAGGCTTGAAATACTTCTTGGGAATCGAGGTAGCAAGATCAAAACAAGGAATTTTTATATCACAAAGAAAATATGTTTTGGATTTGCTTGAAGAAACAGGGATGCTTGATTGCAAACCAGCGGACACACCGATGATACAAAATCTAAAGCTTCGATTGGATTCTGATCAAAAACCAACAAACAAACAAAGGTATCAAAGGCTAGTGGGAAAGTTAATTTATTTATCTCACACTCGACCCGATATAGCTTTTGCAGTTAGTGTTGTGAGTCAGTTCATGCATCAGCCAAACGAAGAGCATATGGATGCGGTTATGAGGATACTTTGCTATTTGAAGTCATCACCAGGAAAAGGTCTCATATTCACTAAACATAGTCATCTGGATGTCGAAGGGTACACAGACGCAGATTGGGCCGGAGACATCAATGATCGAAAGTCAACTGCAGGGTATTTCACTTTTGTAGGCGGGAATCTTGTGAGTTGGAGAAGTAAAAAACAGAAAGTGGTTTCACTTTCAAGTACCGAAGCAGAGTTTCGAGCTATGGAAAAAGGAATACGTGAGCTTTTGTGGTTAAGAAATCTTTTGACAGAAATTGGTTTTGCTCCATCACAGGAAATGGTTCTGTTTTGCGACAACAAATCTGCTATTAACCTAGCACATAATCCTGTTCAACATGATCGGACTAAACACATGGAGACAGATCGACATTTCATTAGAGAAAAAATTGACAAAAGGATAATTAAGCTTCCTTTTGTCAAATCGGAGGATCAGATTGCAGACATACTCACAAAATATCAGTATGTGGCAAAAGTTTCCATCAAATGATTTGCAAGTTGGGCATGTGGGATTTACATGCACCAACAGAGGGTGTTAAATATGGGTTTATTTGGGAATCTTGTATTTATAGAAATTGTAATTACTCCTTTGATTTCTAGCCGTTGTAGGATCTTGTAATTATGCTTTCTCTTCTTCTTCTATCTTCTTCTTCTATATAAGAAGAACCCATGTATTATATTTTGTAAGATTGAATAAATACTTTTTACACTAAATTGACTAGTTGATGCTCGTTATCATCAGAATTATCTGAATCCGACTGAATAACAGCATTCGTAGATGCGATATCATCATATTCTCCATCCGAAACAATATTTCCCCTAGTTCAACAACATTAGTACTTACATTTTGTACTAGGTGTTGTTTTCTATAGCAGCGAATTATTAAATAAGTATGTAAACCGACACCTAAAACTAATCCTACACTAAACATTGCATAACCCAGATACAAAATAACCAGATTTTTCAGTATCTAGGTTATGCAACACAAATTTGTTATTATAGAAATCAAAGTCTAGTACAAAATGCAAATACTAGTGTTGTTGAATCGGGAGAATACAGTTGAGAAACCTTAAATACATTTTTACAATGGAATAAAAATTTAAAATAAAAAGAAAATAATTAATAATAAAAATAAACATAACATATGAAAAAAAGAGCAATCTAAAATAATTATAACTATTTTCATGTTTTAATTTATATTCTCATTTTTACGGAAAATAATAGTAAATATATATGACCACTTTTCTTAAATGCCTTCAAAACAAGTTTTTGGGGTAAATTATAGGCTTAAAACTTGATATACATATCATTATTTTTTTAAAAAAACTTGACATTCATAATAGTTATGAATGTCTTTCTGAATTAATAAAAAGCCTTCTTTAATTCATAAAAAGTATTTTTAATATTATAATATAGAGCCGCAGGTGCGCTAAGCTTCACCGCCATTCTTATCCATGTCTTGTTAAAATTGAATGCCAAGCACAATAGAACTAATATTATGAAACTTTCTAATCTTTTTTTTTCTTCTTGAAATTGTCTTTAGAGTTCTTATGGATGACTATAAAGAAACCGAAGCCATTGAAGAGCTATCAAAAGCCATAGCCTTTAAACCTGACCTCCAACTGTTACACCTACGAGCATCATTCTTCGATTCAATGCGAGAACCTGCAGTTGCTATCATAGACTGTGAAGCAGCACTGAGTCTTGATCCAAACCACACAGATACCATCGACCTCTATCGCAAAGCAAGTGAACCACAATCATAGACAAACCCATCTGTATATCTTTTCTTCCTTTTTACACTATGGCGAGAGCATCTTTCCTCTGAAACCACAGATAACGGTATTCTTCGTTGCCGTTTCATATCCTTTCTGGAACATTCCAGTGGAAAACTAAGCTTGGTTTCTTTGTGATCAAGAAGTTTTGATAGAAGGAACTGGGGACAAACCAAATGAGCTGCAACATAGAATGTAAATATAAACTTTATAATTCGGGGTTTTGGGTTTTATGTGATCTATTCAGGTTTGATGAGGGTAATATGTAAGTAGAGCAGGGTGTTTTTTGGACACAAAAGGAACACGGAGAAAGAATACCTCTGGTGAAACTGGACTTCTTGTTCTGTCCTTTTTTTTTATATGTTTCACACAAAAGTACTTTGTGTTTCTTCTTTTCTTCTCTCTTTATTCTTCTAAGAGCATTAGATTATGTAAAGTGGGTTTTCTCATTTTATTTTTAAATTCCAAATCTCTCTGATCCAATTGTGACTTCCAAAGTTGAGGGATTCTTTGTTGATCAAATTAACCAGGTTTCTGCAATCTTCTTCGAAAATGATTTTTCTAAGACCTCTTGACCAACAATATTGCATGGCCATAGAATTGCTTGGGCTTCACTCTCTAGTGGCGTTTGTGCTGCAGTACTTTGAGCTTGTCCTGCTCCTTTGAAGACTCCATTTTCATCTCTTAGAATCCATCCAGCTTTTGCGTTATTCCTTTCTTTAATATAAGATCCGTCATAGTTGCATTTTATCCATCCTTCTTTAGGTCGCAGCCATCGATGATGTCTTGTGATCGGGTTTGAATTATGATGAGGATCTGACTGGTTATATCTGTCGATGAGATGATGGACGTCTAACCAATCTTTTGCATCACTCTCAGCTAACTTGAGTGTTGTTATCCAAGGATATATTACGGCTTTTCCATATGCGCCAAAGTATCCACAGAGCATATTGATGAACTCTATGCGGCATTAGAGTACTTCTCCTGAGTATAGCTTCCAGCCTTGCCTCAAAAGTTAACACCATGTTGATTACACCTGTATTTGGAAATCTTGAAGCCGTCCAGATATGCTGTGCATAATCGCATTAAAAAAAAAAAAAAATAATTGGCTGACTCCTCTACAAGAAGACACCGTGGACACAGAGAATCTCTTGTAACATGTATCTTTTAGAGATTTTCACCAATTGGAATGGCATTTGAAACCACTCTCCAAAAAAAGTGCTTTATCTTCGGAGCAATGTAGAGCTTCCATATTAGTTACTTCAGATTTGCATTGCCAGATGGTGGACGTATTGGCCTTTGGTGATTATGAGCTGCCAACCAGTAAGCAGATATTACTATATAGAGACCCGTTTTATTGTAACCAGTAAGCAGTAATGATCTCTGCATCTTGAGTTTACTCGTAAAGATAGAATGATCTCTGCATCTTCATCCGCTACCAATCTTCTAATTTCTCTTTCATTCCAACCTGACCGATCAGCAAACATATCCAAGCCTACATGTAAATCTTTTTTTTTTTTTACATTATTTTATTGGAAATATCTAGATCATCTTATATAAACATTTTAAATAAATTGTAATATAAAAAAAGATTATATTGTACTACAGTCATGTAGTTACCTTATACTAATGCTGTGATTATAACTCATGCAATTTATTAAATAATTTATTAACGATTCGATTTTTATATTAATGTGATGTGCAGTTTGCAACAATCGAATCTGTTTTGGATGAGAGCATCTATCGAGGAGTAGAAGCTTTGATAAGTTTTCATAACGTAACAGTAAAAATCAAATTTGGTTAGAAAATGAACCTCATAATCAACACAATAGCATCCAACTTGGTTGGGCTGTAAGTTATTACCAAACTTATAAAACAAAATGTACATACATATAGATAAAGATAAAAATTATATTTACGGATATATATTTAATGAAAATTTCATTTGAAACTGTAGAATAAATACGAGAGTTTAATACTTTTTTTTGGTTGAACAAAGAATAATAGCAACTTATGTTTTTAAATCTACGCAGGTTTCATTATGTATTCTATAATTTTATATGTAGGTACATCCAAGATTGTATGGTGACACTTTCACGCGATTTACAATATATTGGACCGTGAGTAATAAATTATTTCTTAATTATAGTTCTTAAATATTAATTATTTTTTAATTATATTTCTTCATACATGGCAAACCAATAAACAAATCGTGATTATTTTAAAAAGAAAGCCGAACCATTGGTTTGTTGTCTTTACTACTTTTATCCCTGCATAATATTTTGCCTTCTATGTCTTATTAAATTATCAGGCAGATGCCTACAAAAATATGGGTTGCTATAATACCAAATGTTCTGGCTTTGTCATTGTATCTCGAATTCCTTGGATTGGAATAACGTTTTCTAGAACCTCTGTTTATGGTGTTCTCCAACACATCAGATCGATCTCTGCTTCTTTCTCCCTTGTTTACAACACTTCGATAGTATGAGTAGTAGAGCCGTAAAAAAAAAAAATTATAAACCTAGTATATGAGAAATAAATAAATAAAACACCATTTGATGAATTGGATTTTACGTACAAAAATAAACTAACAGTAACATAGTCGAAGTTGTAGAGCAACAAATTAATCATCTCATAAGGAAGTGCTTTGACGCAGTTGTTGCAGTGGATTCACGCGTGCGATCGATACTTGCAAGCTTTGATCTGATGATAGTAAACAAAAAACTAAAACATTTATTTTCTAGAAATCTTGATTAATAGCAAACAAAAAAACAGAACTGGACGGTTCAAACGAATCCTTTTATTTAAAATCTAATAGAACCATTTTAAATTGTGAACACTTAAACTAAACTAAAGTTCTTCCACAAATTGGACAAGAATTATGACGCTATTGACTAAGACAATACAAATGGAATACATGTCCACATGGCGTATTTGCCAACCGAACATTCCACTCAAATTGACCAAAGCATATTGGACACCCATCCTCCCTTGTCCCATGTATAAAAATAAAGTTTTCTAAAAAGTACAGGAGCTAACTGTACTTGTTGATTCTCGTTTTCAGAATTCTCAGAATCTGAGTTCAAAATGACATCTGTGGATGTGTTATCATCATCAGACTCATTATCCGCAATTGGATTCCCGTTCTATAGACTCATTGTCCGGAATTGAATTCCCGCCTAATTCAACCCCAACCTCTTCTCTAGTTTGATTACTTAAGGAATGTCTTACTATTCTAAATAGGTAAAAACAAACGACAGCTATGAATAAGCATAGAGCTACAATAAGAAACACATATCCTACAATCAATAACCTCGCGTTGCCTTGTGAAGTATCATTACCATACCTAGACATTATTATGAGAGGAAAAATGGCCAAAATCTAGCTGAACTAAATTTCGTGGGCCAAAAAAAATCTGTACTAAAATACAAGGCCAAAACCTATTTGAGTGGTAAAACAATTTGAATTTCCTATCTGTTCTTATTAAATGGTGCCAAAAACTACCGTGACCAGGAAACCGTTAGTCAACATTAACACTCTGCTGAGGTGGATACCATGTCATTCATTGATGTGGCAACAGTGACACAAAACGACGTCGTTTAACAAGTTTCAGACAAAAAAATTCACTAAACAAAACGACGTCATTTTGTTTTGGGGGAAAATTAAAATTCCCAAATCGAAGATCAGATCAGTTTAGGGTTCTGTGTAGTCTTCTTCTCCGATATACTGTGTTTGAGTGAGCTATAATGGAAATTCAAGGAAGAGGGTTCCCTAAGAGATGTAGGTGCGGAGAAACGGTTGTCATGAAGACGTCTGGTACTGCTAAGAACCCTGGAAGACTGTTTCATGCTTGTCCACACAGAAAGGAAGGAGTAAGTAAACATATTTTCGGATTTGAGCATTGACATGTGTTTGAAAACAGTTTTTATTGTCGATTGAGTTATGTTTGTATATATAACAGGATAATTGGTATCATACATTCAAATGGACTGATACATGTATGGTTGAAGAGCTTGAGGACTTGATAGACAAAGTCGAAAATATTGAAGAGAGTTCAATGACATTGCAGAAGGGCTTCAATGTTTGCGAGTCCGAGATTGACACATTGGCTATGGAGACTCATATGTGCAAGGCTGTGGTTGCAAAAGAAGTGGGCGATCTCAAAATGCAGCTCTGTAGCTTGAAGAACCTGGTCGGATTTGGTTTTGCGATGTGGTTGGTGTATGTGTTTCTGTTTTAATGTTGATGTTGTTAAGAACCATTTGCTTTCTCTCTTGTATGTGAGTCTAGAATCTATGTAAGTGTTTAATCAATGTTGTTGTTATTGTTGTTGAAACTGAATATTAGAACATGAATGAAATAGAAGGAGCATTTTCTTAAGCTTAAAGGGAGCACAATTTTCTGAGCATAATGGTTACAAAAACAGTCACAAAACAAAGATCTAGAATCCAAACAAAGTACATTATCAAATCCAACAAAATCAAGTTTAAATCATGACAAAAAAAACAGAGAAAATGAGGTCATGATTTAGGTCCTAATCTGATGCCTTTTATGCTCTTGTCTCAGTGCTCCACAAAGCTTTCATCATCTATACTCCCTAACACCAAAAAAGAAGAAAACATTATCGATAAAAGGTATGAAATGTCGATAAAACAAGGTCACTTAACAGATCATAAAACTTACCTATTCTTGAGTTGGCTGAGTTGGAATCGGTCCATCTCCAAATGATAGAGTCATTGACTCATATCCATCTTGTTCTGTCTCGGTGGCCTCATTTCCATCTTCCACTTGCCTCTTCTTTCTTGCATTTGATCTTCTATTTTTGCCTCCATCCGCTACCATATTCTGACATTTTGTTGCATTGTGACCAGCTTCACCACAACGACCACCAACCCTTTTATCTCTGGATGCTTTCTTTTTCGATGGAGACTCATGTCTTGCCTTCTTCCTCTTCGGCTTTGGCTTTCTTCCAACTCTGTTCTCAATTTCTTCAACTAAACTTGGTGGTGGCAGCACTTTAGATCCTGATTTTTTCCAAAATAACATACCGTTGACAGAGTTGATTGAGTAAGAGTAAATTTGCTGCTGACGGAAATTCAGATACCAATGAGAGATGTAATCCTCCTGATTCAGTTTCCTCTCAGCAATGATACGAAGGGCATGACGGCAAGGAATGCCACTCATGTCCCATCTCCTACACGCACATGTCCTCAGTCTCATGTTGACACTGTAACTTAAACCAGACTCACGCACCTCATCTCTCGAATTTGCTCCGGGAACCATCACACAATACTTGAGTTTCTTCTGCTCTTCCTCTATCCACTCTACTGCCCTAACCGTGAATCTTCCTTGATGGCTCAGTGCTTCCTTCATCCTCTGGTCTATCCAAACCATAGTTCTTCTCCTTATTGTCTCTAACATCTCCACCATTGGCATATACCTTGCTGGATAAATGGCATTGTTGAATGACTCGGAGATGTTGTTATGCACGTCTACATAAGAAGATGCTGGTGAGAAAAAGGCGAGACTACAGTTCTGCGGATTCTTCTCCATCATTGCTTCATACAGTCGCATATCATAGTTCTTTACCCTCTCAATATTGGCATTGTATTCAGGCAAGGTGAAGTTTTCAGCTACTCTCCAAAATAAGGCCTTCATGTCGCTTTGATTGGGAAACAACTTCTTCAAATTCCCATAGATGTGTCTTGCACACATTCAATGTTCAATATGGGGTAATTCATTTTGAACAGCATTCAGCAGACCCTGAAAGAACATTAGATCATTATGAAACTATACCCAAAAAAATCAGGAAAGTAAAGCCAAAAAAATCAGGAAACTATACCTTTTGTCTATCTGAAATGATTGTGTAATGTTGACCTTGTTGTAGATTGAAATCAGCCTTCAGCAACTTGAAAAACCAAGTCCAGTTTTCTTCATTCTCCACATCAACTACCGCCCAAGCAAATGGGTACATACCATTGTTAGCATCCTTTCCCACCGCAGCTAATAACTGACCCTTCAAGGTGCACTTCATGAAGCAACCATCAACCCCAAACACAGGCCGACACCACATAGTCCATGCATTCTTCATAGCTTCAAAGCAGACATAGAACCTCCTAAAAATCTCATTTCCATCATCATTAGGAACTGTCTCCAACACCACAGTAGACTCTTTGTTTTGTCTGCAAAACCATATAAGAACAACAATGTCATCTTCAAAAATGCTTTTAATAACTCTAAACAACAAACATATTCAAAAACTTACTCAAGAATTGCATTTCGGTAGTCTTTAAGCCTAGAAAACTGCTCCACATAGTCACTGTTGATGATGGAGATTGTTTTTTCCTTAGCTTTTTTACACTGGTCGTAGGTGGCAATCAAGTTATACCGTTGTTGAATCTGGTCTTGGATCATCTTTGGCCTGTACTCAGGGTAAGTCCTTATTTCATCAAGAAACAGTTTCACGATGACAGACTTCTTCAATATCTTGCTTCTTCCATCCTTGAAGCAAGTGTGTACATCTTCATATGTCTTCACCTTCCACTTTCCAAGATGCTCCTCATAGGAGCAGTAGATCCTCCAAAGACAGCCATCTTCAACCCCACAAATAGCTCCACACTTTATTTTTCCCCAAGGATTTTGCTTGATATTCCATCCTTCTTTCAGCGAATATTCCACCAATGCATCTTTGAATTCTTCTAAGGTGTCAAACACCTGGTTCAATTTCAGCTCACCAATCCCTTTCTTCCATCTCACCAGCTTTACACCATCTTCTTCACCATCAGAGTTGGGAGGCGTATTATGATAATCGAAATTTGGATCTTCATCAACAAACCCAGCCACATTTCTTTCAACCCTTATCTCTTCTTCAGCATGCTCATAAAAGGCTTCTTCAACTGGATGCTCCACTTCGTTAACCATAAAAATCTCCACCACACCACACCACTTAGCCGCTTCAACCATATTGTGAAAACTCTGCTCCCCATTGCGCAACAACTTCCGCTGGTGTAATAGTTCAAAAGGCATCTTATACCACACCTTTTGGCCAGCAAATTCATCTTCAGACAGCGTGGTGAAGAAGGCTTCAGGATAACAATCGATGCTTCTACTTTCACCACCAATGTATGATATGTCTCCTGAATGATTCTTCACCCAATGCCCACCACTAAAAACACTGAACGTCACTTCACAATCATTGAAGCTGAAAAGGAAAGCATCGAAACCATTGTTAAAACTCTCTCAGATATTATATCGAACACTTGGTTGTCTAAGTGAAATCAAATTCTCTCAAGATGGAAAATTTATAAAACGAAAACTACATATGATGTAAACCAATTAATATGACTTTATATAGAACTCAAATTACTTATTGTTCTCAAAATCGAAAGTTTTTAAAATGTTTAATGGTTTTTAAATTCGCAACTTACCTCATTTTGAAGCCAGGACATCAATCGACTCAATTATGGATCGATTCTTCCGCAGTAATCTTCTTCGATGCCTTTCCAACCCAGACTTCTTCTGATCACAGTCCCAATCCTAAAATCCCCTTCTATCGAACAAGAACATCAAATAAGAACCCTAAATTGATCTGATCTTCGATTTGGAAATTTTAATTTTCCCCCAAAACAAAACGACGTCGTTTTGTGTAGTGAATTTTTTGTTTAGTGAATTTTTTGTCCGAAACTTGTTAAACGACGTCGTTTTGTGTCACTTTTGCCATTTCAATGAATGACATGGCATCCACCTCAGCAGACTGTTAATGTTGACTAACGGTTTCCTGGTCAAGGTAGTTTTTGACCAGGAAACAAAACGACGTCGTTTTGTTTAGTGTGTCCGAAACTTGTTAAATGACGTCGTTTTGTGTCACTTTTGCCACTTCAATGAATGACATGGCATCCACCTCAGCAGACTGTTAATGTTGACTAACGGTTTCCTGGTCAAGGTAGTTTTTGGCACCATTTAATAAGAACAGATAGGAAATTCAAATTTTTTTACCACTCAGATAGGTTTTGGCCCTGTACTTTAGAACAGATTTTTTTGGCCCACGAAATTTAGTTCAGCTAGATTTTGGCCATTTTCCCTATTATGAGACTAGTAGTTTGAAATGATTGATGATTGATGACTTAATATTGTATCGATACAAAACTATATCAAATTTTTATATAAAAAAAATTTGACTACATAATCTCCATTTTGTAAAAATGTATTTAAGGTTTCCCAAATAAAAACATAGAATAAGAAGAAAATAACAATAAAAAGCATAACATATGAAAAATATGAGCAAAATCTAACAAAAATAATTATAATTATTTTCATGCATGTTATAATGTATATTCTCATTTTTACGGCAAATAATAATATATATATATATATGAGCAATTCTCTTAAATAAACAAATTTTTTGACCAAATTTATCACATAGAGAATTTGCTAGAAAATCTAAAATCTGGTCAAAATTTGCTAAATGGGAAAAACAGTAAATTAGTGGGACATTGTTCTGACACTTTGAAGGTGTTATTACTCTTTACCCCATCGTTCTTTTGTTACGAGTCTTCCTTCCCTGTATGGAGTTTCTCTCTCATCATCTTTCTTCCGTTAGCATATAAGTTATACAACTACATAACTTGTTATCATACTACATAATTTGTTATCTTGCTAACACTAATCTTACATCAGTTATATATATATAAATTAACGTCTAATATTGTAACTAAGTAGGTACAAAATATGTTAGATTGATAACAATAATGAGTTATATAGATAATCAAAGATGTTATTGGTATACTTAGCATAATACATATAAAATTAACGTCTAACATTATAATTAACAAGGTAAAAAATATGTTAAATTGATAACAATAATGAATTATCTAGATTATTATAGGTGTTATTTTTTGTAATTAGTGCGCTACAAAAACAGATAACACTCTATATGTATTGTTAGTAGTATAACAATAAAATTATAAGAGTAATTCAAATAGATACATATTATATATATACGTTAGCTCGGCGGATTTAATGGCGACTGTCGCTGGAGGCGGCGGCGCGATTGTTGTTTCTGGTGTAGGCGGAGGCGGTGCAGTGGTTGTATCCAAATCTAACAGAGGAGGTGAAAATTGCGGCTGAGGATTCGAATTAGGCGTAGAAGGAGGTGGAGGCGGAGGCGGTTCGGGTTTACAATCGGCACCAGCGGATTCGAGAGAATTGGAACAAACGGGTTTGGTGATGATGAATCAGGTGAAGCGGGTGGGGAAGATCGAAGAACAGGAGGATCCGAGTTTGGATACAGGTCAGGATTAGGAAACAGAGTTATAAAAGAGAAAGTGGAGGAAGAAGAAGAAGAATAGTAGTCGTCGGAAGACAAGTCAGCGGAAGTGTTCGAAAGTTTATAAAATATTAAATTAATATCTCTAACATAATATCGGTTACCATATTATAAATTATACAATGCTGCAAAAGTGCTTTGTCCCATCTTGCAAATTATGAACAGCACTTGGGTTATCTAGTGCATTTACTTTTTATCACACACGCTTGAAACTTGACATCCAAACATTTTTCAAGAAAATTTGACACTTATAACATATATAGGATTGTCTTTCTGAATCAATAAAAAGCCTTCTGTAATTGATAGAAAGTTTTTTTAATTGTGTTCTAGTTTTAATTTATACCATTATCTGATGTATATAAATTTACAAAGTAATTTTTCTAATCTTTTGCCAATAACAATAAAAAAGTTTAAGTTGATTATTAAAAAAAGTCAAGAAAACTTCTTAAGTCAAGAATGTTTCATACATATTTAGGATTGTTCTCCTGAATTTATAGAAATGCTTCTGCAATTATAAATGTTTTAGGAAATAATTCCTAAACATTTTTACCATACTCTTAAAACATTTTACCATACTACTAAAACTTCAAGGTATCTTTCTGAAATATGTTAGGTCATAGAATTTCTCAGCGTGTGTGGTATAGGTGTCACAAAAAGTAGAATTCATGATATTCAGAAGAATTTTTCTAAATAATATTGTATTTTTCTGGAATGATTTGGTTGGACCCGGTTTAATTTACCGTTTTAATTTAACTCCGAAGAGTGAAGATTGAACCCGATAGCTGGACCCGGTTTTTTCCCGCAAATTAACTAGTTTATTTATCGGCCCAATTGAATTTTGGGCATTAAAAATTAGGCTTCAGCATAATCGTAGATAAGAAGAAGGTGAGTGGAGAAAGAACGGCTGCTTCAGCCGTCGGAGGAATCAGAACGCATTCGGAGATTCACCTGCAAACATGGTTTGTCATCTTGTTCTCTCCTGTAGTCTCGTATTCGCAAGCTGTTCGTTTTGGATTAGTTTTTCTCTCAAATGTATGATTCGTGCTCTAGCGAAGCCAATCTGTTTTTTCTTTTTCTTGATTTGGGGTTTCTGTTTTCTTAAAAGTGTCTCCTTGAGAAAATGTTGTGCTCTATGAGTGAATTTGAAATCGGGAGATCGTTTTACTTGCTGTGCTAGCATAGTGATCATCAAGTTGTAATTTTACCTATTGAACTTGAACTCAGTGTTACTGCTTCCTTGAGGAATCAACGGCATGTGTTCTTTTTGCGTACAGATTTTCTGATTTGGGATTGGGTCTTTTTAGTGTTTCTAAATTCATTTCTCTCTAAGCTTGGGTTTTGGATATGTTATTCTTCGTTACGTTTGTGTGCATTCTAAGAATTGGAGTTTTAATGGTGGAGGGTACTGTTGAGGAATGTGGCTTAACTTTTATATCGACCATGTTTGCACAGGCAAGGGGATTGAAGAAGCATCTCAAGAGGCTTAATGCCCCTAAGCATTGGATGCTCGACAAACTTGGTGGTGCCTTTGTAAGTCGCTTGCTTGAAGTCTTGTTGCCTTTTTCACTCGATATGTGTTTCTCGACACCTATAACTCTCTTTTTCTCTCTCTGCTTAGGCCCCCAAACCATCTTCTGGACCACACAAGTCGAGGGAGTGCCTTCCCCTTGTGCTTATCATCCGTAATAGATTGAAGTATGCTCTCACATACCGTGAGGTGATTTCAATCTTGATGCAAAGACATATTCAAGTTGATGGGAAAGTCAGGACTGACAAAACATACCCTGCTGGTTTCATGGGTAAGTCTTAATATTTGATTTTGATGCCCTTTTGTTTGTGTGTGATTCTATGATCAGTGACTTAAAAGACAATCTTATGCATTGTTATTCTGTACAGATGTTGTGTCTATCCCCAAAACAAACGAAAACTTCCGTCTTCTGTATGACACCAAGGGACGCTTCCGTCTCCACTCCATCAGGGATGAGGAAGCAAAGGTTTGGATCTCCTGAATCCCTTGTATTGTCATTTACTGATTACAGTTTAGTGTTAAAATTGTATGTTATCCAACAAGTTTCATTGTTTGCTGTGTGCAGTTCAAGCTGTGCAAAGTGAGATCTATCCAGTTTGGTCAAAAGGGCATTCCATACCTGAACACCTACGATGGTCGCACCATCCGTTACCCCGACCCGCTTATCAAGCCTAACGACACCATCAAGCTCGACCTGGAGGAGAACAAGATCGTGGAGTTCATCAAGTTTGATGTGGGAAATGTTGTGATGGTGACTGGAGGAAGAAACAGAGGGCGTGTTGGTGTGATCAAGAACCGTGAGAAACACAAGGGAAGCTTTGAGACCATTCATATTCAGGACTCGACGGGACATGAATTCGCCACGAGGTTAGGGAATGTGTTCACTATTGGGAAAGGGACAAAGCCATGGGTGTCTCTTCCAAAGGGAAAAGGTATTAAGCTTACCATCATTGAGGAAGCTAGGAAGAGGCTTTCTGCTCAACAAGCCGCTTAAACTGTTTTTTCCTCGGTTTCAGAAGACTGTTGTTTTTTGCATCGTTTTATTTCTCATACTTATGCCTTTAGAATTCCTTTTTTTTTGTCGACTATTTAAGCTTGTGATATTTTTTTCAAAATAGAAAATGATGCTCTTGATATTTCCTGGTCCACTTACGTCTTACGAATCTTTTTTCAAGCTATGAGCTAGTAATATCCATTGTAAAACAAAGTACCTTCGACCAAGAAAAAACAAATAGGCCTAAAGTTTTTATGTATGTGAATGAGTGATGTTGATTTGCTCTTCTTCTGATTCGAGAATTTGAGATTAATTCGTTCTTGGCTGTCTAACTGTTGAATCTTTGAGACTAATTCGCTGTCATAAGAACCATGTATCATACCCACGGCCACGGCCATAGAACAATTCGTTCATTCCATTGCAGGTAGTGTGATTGAAATCAGAAGGCAGTCCATTGTCAATGCAAAACGTACCAAAAATATTTGGACTAACGCCACCACAATCCAGGGTCATGGTTTAGGACATAATAGGACTACATATCTCACTCTTTTACTTCAGAGATTTTAAAGACAACATAAAACAGAGAAGAAAAAAAATCAAGCCGCCGCCGCAAAAAAAAAGTAGTTTACTCGTATTTTTGGAGAGGGAAGAAAAAACAAGAACACATTTTGCGACGAATGGGCTACGAGTATCGGCCCATATAAACCAGCAGAGATTATATGGAGAAAAATGACAAAAAAAAATTTGAATTTATGACATTCAGCCAAACAAATTTCCAACTATCAGTTGGACAACTTAATTTTTCAATCTTTATTAATTTCTATTTTAATTTAATATTTTTGCTGACCAAACCAATTTAAACTTATCTTAAACAAAAATTTAAAAACCTTCATTAACCAAAACAACACCATTTTATTTTACTTTAAAATAAAAAAATTCATAAATTGATGTGTAAACCCTTAAATCGTGTTTTTCTCTAAATGAAATGATGCGGAACATGGCGATGCTGAGGAGAACGTTTGTGTGGTAGGACATCAAGAGCTGTCCGATTCCAGCTGGTTTCGATCCTTGTCTGGTCGGTCGGAGAATAAAATCGGCGTTGAAGAAATCAGGCTACTCTGATCCTGTCACCATCACTGCCCTCGGCGACCTAAGAGAGGAAAAGGGCCCTGGTGAAGACGTCCTGCGCAAGCTTTCTTCCAGTGGAATCGCTCTTAACCATGCCAATGGTTAGTCATATTTCATCTCTAATTCTATAATTTTTTTTTAAGTACAAGTAAAAGTGGATTTCTTTACTTAGTGTTTAGGGTTCAACGTTGCTTTTCTTTACTGAACCAGGACCTGAATCGATGATGTATCGCTGGATCCGCTTTAATTCGGTGAAACGATCTTTGACTCCTGTAATGCTCGTATTTGGTGGTTTTACGCAACAATATTTGCTAAGTTCTATACTTTGCTCACGAGCGGATGACGAATACATTTTTCTTCTGGCATATCATCAAGAAGAGCCAGCCTCGCGCTGGAAAGGCTTTAGGAATATTGTTCGTAAAGAGTGGCTCTGGAAAAGCTTACTGTCAGGTGTTTGTTTGTCTTCTCTCACACTGTGTGTGTGATCTCTCTCGTTTGAAATATACTGTATCCAGCAAAAGCTGTTTGTTTCTGAGCTAGTAAGTTTTTTCTCTTCTTCTTTAACAGATGATGATATGGATTCAGGGTCTGCGGACAATGAAGACAATACAACAAGGATTGTTCTTCAGGACAAGTACACTGAAACTGGTGATTCTCCCTGGTATTGCTGTGTATGCTCGTTGGCTTGCCAAAGCTTTGAAGATTTCACCACGCATCTCAAGAGTGGAAAACATGAATTTTATGTAACCCTCTCTCTCTCTCTCTCTCTGCTTCTAAATATTTTGTATCAATACATAATTTTATTAATGTTGTATACCACATGTATCCTTTTCAAAGAAAAATGGCCTGAAATGCAGGTTGTCAAGCAGGAGTGGGACTCATGGGCTAGTCATAGAAGTGTGATGCGTACTACCCCTGAAAAATTTGTATGGGGTCGATCAAAGGCAAGTTTTGATATCTCTCAAGTTGAGATTTTCTCATTTTTGGAATGTACAGTTGCGTTCAACTAGAATACCCTTTTCACAACTTACCTAACTGTGTCATTGGCACAAGTTTCCCTTTCAAAGAAGATACAGTACATCTCTGATTTCCGCTTAATTAATGTGCATTTGGTTGTCAAGTAGGAGTGGGACCAGCTCAATTTTGAAGACATGGCGTATCGTGATTACCTTCGGTATAGGCGTCTAGAGACTACCGTGGTGGAGAGTCCATCAGAGGCAAGTTTTTCAGATTCCTAATCTTTTGGAATTTACCATTGAGTTCAACTAGACCCCAGATATGGAGTGGATAGCATGATAACTTTCCTTCCCTTTCAAAGACGATACCTCTGTTCTCCACTTAATGTGCATTTGGTTGTCTAGCAGGAGTGTGACTTGCTCAATCGTCAAGACATGGCGGGTTGTCTTCCGTATAAGGCAAGTTTTTGAGATTACTAATCTTTTGGTATTTATCATTGAGTTCCAGATATGGAGTGGATAGCATGATTTTAAATTTACTGACTTTTGGCTTTGGTTGATGCTAAAATATTGAAGGAAAAGTGCAAGAAGAAGAAGCTGAAGGGACCCCTAACTGTGAACTAGACGATAAAAAAGAAAAGATGAAGAAGAAGAAGGGTACATGGCTCATGGGGTGTTGTTCTTTTCTAAAGGTTAATGGTTTGTTCTACTTCTAGGAGGACTTGTTGTGTTACTTTGCTTTTTTTTTAGTCTCTTTTTTTTTCATTTTAAGTTAACTGATACCTTTTTTATCAACATCCTCTTAAACTCATTCTCGACACCATGTCTCTACATATGGCGATCAGATATATTGATTAATAGTATGTTCGATTAGGGTTTTCACTAATAATGCGATGAATACGTTTTTATCGACTAGTAATGTTGTTGTGACAGTAAATTTAACGTCAGAGGTAAACCATCACAGTTTGAATGTTCGATGGTACTGCATTCTGATGCTATATTATAGCTATTTTTTTTTTTATTGCAACACATTGAAACCCGTTTTCAACACATTATACCTAGCGTTGTAATAATGCAATTTTACAATGAAATGTGACTAAAATATCTTCTGAATTGCTATATGAAAATAAGGATACTAACTTTATTATATTTAAATATATATTGTCGGTCCGCGCGCGCACCGTATAAACCCGTGCCACAAGGAAAAGATTCGATCAAAACCCTAGTTCCTCTTTCTCCCGTACGTGGCTCCATCTTTCAGAAGATATTTTAGTCACATTTGAATTATAGGAACTAGGGTTTTCGCCGTAAAAACAAATACGAGCGAAATGATGCGGAACATGGCGATGCTGAGGAGAACGTTTGTGTGGTGGAACATCAAGAGCTGTCCGATTCCAGCTGGTTTCGATCCTTGTCTGGTCGGTCCGAGGATTGAATCGGCGTTGAAGAGATCGGGCTACTGTGATCCTGTCACCATCACTGCCGTCGGCGACCTAAGAGAGGGAAAGGGCCCTGGTGAAGACGTCCTGCGCAAGCTTTCTTCCAGTAGAATCGCTCTGAAGCATGCCAATGGTTCGTTAATTTTCTTTCATCTCTAATGATCTATAATTTATATTTAATACAAGTATAAATGGATTTCCTCTTCAATTAGGGTTTTATGTTCAACGTTGCTACTTGATGCTTTCCTTTTACTGAACCAGTACCTACATCGATGTTGTATACGACCTGGAAGGATCCATGTCCGCGTACTCTAATGCTCATATTTGGTGGTCCTAAGGAACTGGTATATATACCTCGTACACTTCGGTATGAAGTAGATGACTACGGATTCAGAATTCTTCTGGCATATCATCAACGAGATCCAGCCTGGCATTCGGATAGCTTTCTAGGTAATGTTCGTAAAGAGTGGCTCTGGAAAAGCTTAGTTTCAGGTGTTTGTTTTTTCCCACTCTCATTCTCACACTGTGTGTGTGATCTCTATCGTTTGAAATATATGTAACCAACCAGCAAACGCTGTATGTTTCTGAACTAGTTAGTTTTTTTCTTCTTCTACGTATAGATGATGATATGGATTCAGGTTCTGCGGACAATGAAGACAAGACAACAAGGATTGTTCTTCAGGACAAGTACACTGAAACTGGTGAATCTCCCTGGTATTGCGACGTATGCTCGTTGGCTTGCAAAAGCTTTGAAGATTTTACCACGCATCTCAAGAGTGGAACACATGGATATTATGTAACCCTCTCTCTCTCTGCTTCTAAATATTTGTATCGATACATTTTTTCATTTAATTAATGTCTTACCAAATGCATGTTTCCCTTTCAAAGAAGAAATTGCACTGATATGCATTTGGTTGTTATCAAGCAGGAGTGGGACCGGTGGGCTAGTAAAAACAATTTGGATCGTCGTATCCCTTCTAACTTTGAATGGGGTCGATCAAAGGCAAGTTTCTTAATCATCTCTCAAGTTTAGATTTACTACAAGACCCCTTTCACAACTTTACATTATTGTGTCATTGCCACATGTTTCCCTTTTAAAGAAACGATCTATACTTCTGATTGTGCATTTGGTTGTCAAGCAGGAGTAGGACCGGCTCAATTGTCTAGACCTGATGGATTGTGTTAGTCGTATTCCGTATGACCCTCTAGATTATCCCGAGGTGGAGAGTCCATCAAAGGCAAGTTTCTTATGAAATACCTAATCTTTTGGAATTTACCACTGAGTTCCCCATATGTTGATCGTAGATAGCTTGTTTTTGGATTTACTGACTTTGGTTGATGCTCTAAAACATTCAAGGAACAAGAGTGCAAGAGTACTGCAACATTCAAGGTATGCCTCTCTCTCTCTCTCTCTCTCTCTCTCTCTCTCTCTCTCTCTCTCTCTCTCTCTCTCTCTGCTTGCTTCTAAATATTGTATCGATACATTTTTCATTAATTAGTGAGTTACCACATGTTTCCCTTTCAAAGAAAAATTGCCATGATGTGCATTTAGTTGTTGTCAAGCAGGAGTGGGACTGATGGGCTAATAAAAATAATGTGGATCGTTGTAACCCTGCTAACTTTGAATGGGGTTGATCAAAGGCAAGTTTTTAAAATATCTCTCAAGGTTGAGATTTATCGTTTTTTTTTGGAATTTACCGTTGCGTTTAACTAGAAGACCCCTTTCACAACTTACATATTGTGTCATTGTCACATGTTTCCCTTTCAAAGAATCTATACCTCTGATTTCCGCTTGATGTGCATAAGTGCATTTGGTTTTCAAGCAGGAGTGGGACCGGATCAATTGTCAAGACCTGGTGGAACGTATTCGTCTTCGGTATTACCCTCTAGATACTACCGAGGTGGAGAGTCCATCAAAGGCAAGTTTCTTAGATACCTAATCTTTTTAGTATTATTAACCATTGAGTTCCAGCTAGATGTGGATGTAGATAGCTTGTTTTTGGATTTACTAACTTTGGTTGATGCTCTAAAACATTCAAGGAAGAAGAGTGCAACAGTAAGACTGAAGAAGAAACTGAAGTAGAGGACCCGAATCGCTCATCTAGAGGAGGACTGTGAAATAGACGATGAAGGTGAAAATGAAGATTAAGAGTACATGGCCCATGGGGTGGTGTTGTTCTTCAATAAGGCATTTCATATCATTTCATATCACTAACTCAAGTCCCGGTCCCTAACTCTGAGACTGTTTAGAAATGTACTGATAACAACATAATTACTGTTAGGACAATAAGAATAGTTTGTAGATACTGATGAGGTTCTGTATAATTGATCCACAGGTTGCACATGAAGAGGAGAAGTAGTATGTCCAACGTGCAACGCCGATGGTGAGCCGGGATTTTACGAGGAGGATCAGATGATGAAGTGTGTCGGTTTTGATTTAAATATTTCAGTGTGTCGGAGTTGTATTTTTTAGTTACGGTTTTTTCAGACCCATGTATTAATGGTTCAAAGTGGGTTAAATTGTCCTAACCAGTTAACTGACTTGGTTTAAATATAAACTTTGAATTTTTGGTTATCTGGCTTGATGTGAATCCACTAAAATCGGTTTTGAATTAAGTTTATTTTCGAATTTTCAGATTTTCAATCAACGACACCAATAGGCTCATATAAAAAATTAGTTCGGTTTTGGTTCAAAGTTCAAACATTTCAGTGATCATGTTTTATACTACATAAAAGATTAAAACTCTAATTCAAAGTCATATCTCATCTCATCACTTGATGGTTTACACAAAGATAAGTTTGGTCTGTTTGTATAGGATTATAGCTAGTTATATAGAAACAGTAAAGTTTTATTTCCTAACGTAAAATACAATTACAAGAAGAAAACATAGAAACTTTAGTTTTATATGACATCTCTTGTGTTTATTGAAAATTTAGTGAATAATTAAGTTATGTCTTGAAGAAAAAACTAAAAGCTGCTAGAGTATGTATAACATAATATTTAAACATAAACATATCATCTTCACCTTACAACTAAATAAGTGAAAACTTTTATTTTTAAAACAAAGTTTGGACGTGAAACACACTTTAAATGTAATACAACTTTCTCAAAAATTGTTTGATAAAATGTGTCATGAGCATTGCCCAAAATCTGCATTTTTGTGTTTTCTTAATAAATATCCATATAGTTAGTGGAAAACAGAACTTTGATTATGTTGATATATAAAAGCTTAATTTTCTTCTTACCTATATCAAAGATTGAATTTTTTTGTTGAAAACCCAGTTTTGATTTTGTAGATGAAAAAACTTTGGAAGACTTGTTTTTTTTTCTTAAATCTACTGAAGACTTGGCACATGCAGTAATTCGATCAATACTTTGGATGAGAAATTATTTGAAGCTAACTTTGTAGAATTGCCAGCCACCAATGAATCATGGGAGCTAAACAAGGTATGGTTAATTGCAGTTTGGTGGCAAAACCTTAGCTATCGTGGATTTGGAGAACTGTTCGATCTCGCTGGAGTTCCCTCCCATCGAACGTCCAACCACGCTCGGGCAAGCTATTAAAGAATTCCACTAGCGTTTGGGCATGACTGGCCCTATTACAGTCATGGTCGTCGCCGGTGGAAATAGATGCCGGGTTTCTGAACGTGTTCAGGACTATAGGGTAGCTGCCAGTTTTATATAGAAATCAGGTTCCATAATTATCAAGAAACTTCCAATCACAAAGTTTTGTTAGAGGCAAAGAATCCTCCTCCTCTGTTAGTCTTTGCTTAACTAAAGAAAACATTTTATGTGTAATCACATTTTGATATATGAAAAATGGAACACATTTTCCTGGTAGCAATATTCTTTATACAATATTATTACACTAAGAAGTAAGAGTTTGCTTCAAATATATAGTTTGAGACAAGGTAAGGAGCAAAGCATGCGTACAAAAACAAACATCAAAAAGTTGATATTATTTTGTTATTGCACCTTAAGTTGATCAAAAAGTCAGAATTTATCAACACCAACACCAGGCCGTATCACCTCATAAGCATCTCTGCTTTTGCTTTTCTTCATCCCGGCCGTGAAATAAACCTTTGAGGCGTCTGCTGAGATACAGGTTACTTTCACCCAAATCATCACCTTTGTTTTCAAGCCTTCCACTTCCGCTAGCTTCCCTTTCTCCAGGTAACCCGTTACTGTAGTTGAAAACCGTAGGACCGATGAATCCCTGTAACCAACCTCGCAGGTCTCAGGGATGAAGACAGTTAACTTACCTGTCTCTTCGTTGAACTCATAGTTTGTAGCATCCTGTGGAAATATCCCAACCGGTAGACCAAATTCCTTCAGCAATTCAGGCAGTGGCTTCTGCATTTTTCCTATTCAGAACAAGAATGACGCTGCATTCAATTGTCGATAATCCGTTTATAAACCATAATAAACAATAAACATGACTACTCAACAAATATACTACAAGAACTTAATTTGAATAAAATTGAAGAACGCCTAATCTTTACAATTTACATTAAATTCAATATCTTTCAGAATGCAGAATACCACATGGAATAGTTGAGAATCGCAACCTCCGGCTTATTGAGTAACAATAGATTAGAAAATTGTGAAACAAGAACTGAGAAAGATGTAACAAAAAATAAAACCTTTGATTTTGTTGACCAACCACTTGGTACCTCCTTCAATACTGCTCGACAATGACTGCAAGAATGAATCCAATGTCATCAGACTCAGGAAACTTTTGTCTCAAGAGATCGAAAGCTAAAAACTTTTGCATGATATGTTACCATAAACACAGATTGTAATTGTAACATTAAACCCAACTGTGTAACTATATATATCAAATCTTCTGATTACTATAGTAACTCAAGGATCTTCCACTATAGAGAAATGCCCCCAAATTTAATAAAGGAGGATTCAATTAAGCTAAAAAGGACACGGTTTTCAAACAGATTGAGATCGAGAACCAGTTAACCCCAACAGCTAACAAAAACTTGTTACAGTGAAACCCATATCTGAAAGCATAGTTCTTGACCAAACAAGCGTAAGATGGAAGAAAAATCGAACATTTTGACCACAAAAACCTGCAAGGTCTATCTAAAAGATTAAAAAAAGCCTAAATCATCATGGGTTAAGGCCGATGAGTTTCCTCTAGAATTGGAACACGATCAAATGGTAAACTAAAACTCTGAAAGCAATAAACAGAGAAAGGAATAGGAAGGATACATTGAAATCGTCACCGACGGAGTTGAACTCTTTGTTTGCCTTTTGTCCTAACCAGTATGAACCGACTTTGTTCATTATCTGATCCATCTCTCCTCTCCTGTGTAAAACTTAACCCGCAGAAATAGACGAGAGAAGACGATGGCTTTCTTTGAGGTTTCTTCTTCTCTGCGTAGGAAGAATGTTTTTGTTTTCTCACCGTCGATTGTGGTATTACCCACTGAGCAACTGAAAAACAGCACAACATTCATCGTTCGAAACTCAAAACTACACGAGTTTCACCATTCTGACCTTGTCGTGTTCTTTTAAATCCTTAAAACGGCGTAGTACATACTACAAAGAAAATAAAGTTATTACAGAAATAGTCAACACCTATGGTCAACTTGACAATTCCAACATTATAAAGTTAATCACGTTTTAAAAGGAGTCCAATTTTCTTTAGGCAAGCAAAGTACTTTTTTTAATAAATAAAATTTTCTTTTTCTACAAATTCGCGACCTAGTCTTATGTAAATTGGTATTATGTAAATTGGTATTTATTTTCAAACATTGGTATTTATGTAAATTTCATTGTGAAGACTAGCATGGTACCATGATCTTAGAATGTTATCAAATCAAGTAATTTTTGGTAGATGAGTACCAATCATCTTGTTACTCAATTTATTGTACGGGTTAATCTATCAACATTATTGTTTCGTCACCCTCAGCTATGAAAAACTGCAACGATTCATAAAACCAAGTTTGTATTTATTGTCGTTGGTTCAACATCATATTCAGTGATACCATGGAAACAAAATTCTATACATATGGTAACTAGTTGAGCGATACATTTTAACAAGTCGTTAATTTAAAATTGGAAACGTATTGGTTTAATTTTTTGTTAGTTTGTAATTTATAAAATTTTATATCATTGAACCAACTATACGAAACAAACATAGCCATCACACAATCTGATAACACACCTTTATAATACAATTATAAACATTATTTCTTGATTTTTAGAAGTAAAAAAGTCCTCCAAGATTCCAACCATAATAGACTCCAACCATAATAGGCTCCAACCATGATAGTCTTACGATTAAATACTACAAATTCCTATCTATTATTAACTATTTCCTTTAAAATTCAATGTTACAATTTTCACAAATTTAAATTTACCACGACATTTCATTATATGTTTTTTTTTTGTGAACAATCATTAGTTTAAGTTTTAACTTTAGTTATTGTGTATATTGGCCTCTCGTACTTCATTGCATCAAAACTTAGACAGTGTGCACAAAGAAAATCTCATCCATCGTGGTCACATTAATTAACCATATGAAACATGATATGACTACTAAAAAGTTGATCATGCCACATCTCAATCATCTTCAATAGCAAACACTTTGACGAACTCTCTCCATGTTTTGTGCATCACATGATGTAAAATGGATCTGAAAGTGCATATCCTTCTCGTGATGTAAAATGGATACGAGACTTTTCCTTTGTATAACGAATATCAATAGATCATATCTAAGCATGGATACGAGACTTTTGCTTTGTATAACGAATATCAATAGATCATATCTAAACAATAAAGAATTTTCTCGGAAACTTGTTCCATCTACTTGTTCATCAACTCATCAAGTTGTTATGGATACGACAAAGGCAGTTTTACTCAAAAGAAAAGTTGTTATGAATATTTGATAAGTTGATGAGTGTTAAAATACAATTATTTTAGAGAAAAAAAATTATTATAAGATTTTCATAAGAATAAAATTACATTCTTTTATATAGAGAATGATTATAGACCTAAGTTCTTAAATTAAGATAAACATAAAAGTAAATATACAAAAATAAATTTCCTAAAGTACTATATTAACAAATTTATACAATTTTTCCATAATTGAATCTCGATATTGATTCAAATAAATTCCAGTTCGAATCGATTTAACTCTAAATACATGTATGTAAGTTTTTAATGTTCACCTTTTTAAAATAACTAGAACCTATTGCTACTTGTACTTTAAAAAAAAGTTAAATCATCGCGGATAAATAATACACGAGAATTATGGTCACTTTGCCAATTTCTATACCGTACCGAACAGTCAAAGTCAACAAAATAGCCAGGGGCAAATACGTAAATTAACGAAGAGCAACTTGCTAAATTTTTTCGTTATCACCACTCACATGAACTCTGCATTAAAAACTCTCTCTCTCTCTCTTCCTCCATCTCTCTCAAATCGAAAGGCACAGCCCAACTTTTTTCGCAAGTCGCTGTAAAGTTGATCTTGCTCCTTTTTTATATACACACACATCTTCTCCTCCCTCTCACACCTTCCTCTTCAATCCTCCATTTTCTTCAAACCCTGAAAAAAGAAGGGTTTTCAAAGATCAATCAAGATTTTGCTAAAAAAAAACAAGAAGCCAAACCATTTACTCAGATCAAACATGCTCGCCGTTCACCGTCCTTCTTCCGCCGTATCCGACGGAGATTCCGTCCAGATTCCGATGATGATCGCTTCTTTTCAAAAACGTTTCCCTTCCATCTCACGCGATTCAACCGCCGCTCGTTTCCACACGCACGAGGTCGGTCCTAACCAGTGTTGCTCCGCCGTCATCCAAGAGATCTCCGCCCCAATCTCCACCGTATGGTCCGTCGTCCGCCGCTTCGACAACCCGCAAGCTTACAAACACTTTCTCAAAAGCTGCAGCGTTATCGGCGGAGACGGTGGAAACGTAGGTAGTCTCCGTCAAGTCCACGTCGTCTCTGGCCTCCCCGCCGCGAGCTCAACCGAGCGTCTCGATATCCTCGACGACGAGCGCCACGTCATCAGTTTCAGCGTCGTCGGTGGAGACCATCGGCTATCTAACTACCGATCCGTCACGACTCTCCACCCTTCTCCGATCTCAGGGACCGTCGTTGTGGAGTCTTACGTGGTTGATGTGCCTCCGGGGAACACAAAGGAAGAGACTTGCGACTTCGTTGACGTTATCGTACGATGCAATCTCCAATCTCTTGCGAAAATAGCTGAGAATTCTGCGGCGGAGGGGAAGAGGAAGACGACTCTGTGATGAGTGTTTTCGTCGTCGTTGTTCGTTGAGTAGTTTCGTTAGATCCGACGTCGTTTTCTTAGATTTTTTAGCCGTCGTGTGATCTATGTTTTTTCCGGCTTATCGTGTGAAGAAAAAAAAAAGAAGATACATTAGTGAATTAATCCCATGCATAATGTTATTATTATCTACCGTTTTATTTTTGTTTGCGTTATTTTCTCCACAAAGAACCGATTCGGATAGCCCTATTCCGGCTTTTCATCACCCAAAGATAATAAAAAAAAAAATTAAACGTAACATATATTACTTCTATTAGGAGAAATTGGCTAGGTCGTCTGTTATATTAAAAGTATGATTTTCAAGTTTATATCTTGTCTCATATAGTTTCATCAAAATATGCGGAATGAACATCATCAACATTGAGTTATTGCACATCTTCATCAACATACTAAAAACTTGCGTCCTTATCATTGTATAGTATGCAAATGAATTACGTATAAAAAAACTTTTGAGAAAATTCCATGAATTTTGTATGGGAACTTTACACTTATATATATAATGTCTTCCTTTACTTGAGAATTTTTAATCGTTCCTCCAACTTTTTACTTTCTTATTATTCCATAAAATTGAATGAGATTTCAGTTTTTGTTCTACAATTTCAAAACAATGTGTGCAAGAAATAGTAAAATCTATAAAGAGATCGTTAAATCGTTACAAAATTCAAACATTTGTCAGGAAAATCAAGATTTTTCTTTGTCATCTACGGAGTATTTGATTAATAAATATAAAGAGTGGAAATAGTTGATATAAAATATGAACATGTTGATGGAACTAAAGAAATAAAAATTTGCAAGTGGACAATGCTTTGAATGATAAGCCAAGCTGTTCTATTTTTTTCCTATTAATAAAAAGGAAATGCAAGTTGCAACTTGTTTATCTCCACCTCCTTTCTTTATGCTTCTTCCCAATCCAAATGATATAATATTCAAATTTAATAATAAATAAAAAAAATAGAATAGAGAAGAGCGCAAGTTGCATGTCCTTTTACATCACGAGAGTCACGATATGTTTCGTTTCCAAGTGATCTCTTAGAATATAAGAAATTTAAATGTGATTTCATTTGTTTTATATATTCAAGTGGTTTTTAAACTTTATATGATACATTTCTATCCACAAAGTTAAAAAGTTCCAATTGTTGCTTTTTTATGCATGTTAATAATACTATAATCGAAGTTTATGACCATGCAACCTGCATAATAATAAATTATGAAAATCAGTTTATGGTGATTTGATGATTAGAAAATTTATCACGGGGTTTGAGAAATATGGTTCAAATTTTTTCACTGTGATTTTCACTTGTGGTTCTAGAAAAAATTTATATAGCAAGAATAGTTGATGTTCCATATATTTAGAGGATAAGTGGACTAATATTCATTGGTTTGTTTTCCTGGACTATTCAGTGGTTATATAAAAGAAATTTATAAAAGTTTGATTTAATATTGTAAATAACATAAAACAAACGTCAAAATGAATGCGTCATAACAAAACACCGATATGAATACGTGAGAGCAAATATGGTTTCAGACTTTCATTTGCTTTTTATTGTGGTCGTCGAATATCAACAAATATAGCATAGCTTACTAATCATAAGATACATACTTAATGTGGCCAGGAAAGGCGTAAAAATAAAATGAATAGGAAAGAGTTGGCGGTGCAAGTGGGAGTAGGGTAGCTGCAATGTTTTGCAAGTTGGGCAAAACATATTAATTGTGATTTGCAAATTGAGTTTTTTTTTTTCCTTCAAATAAATAAAATAAATAATCTGTGCTTTTGAGATCCTTCACGCCACCGTTTCCTCTAATTTGATTGGACCTCTGCCAAGTTTCCGCTCGTTCGAGAGAAGGAAAATAAGAAAAGTCGAAAACACAAATCAATGGAATATAATTCACAAGTTGCAAAAAGATTAGTACTTTCTACCATTTTGTTTATATGAAGTAGCGGATCAGCTGATGTACGGCCTGAACACTATTTTTGGCTCGGGTTAAGGTGAGCTTATCATTTATTCATTTGTAATTTTCTTTTTCTTTTCTTTTTCTTTGTTGTCAATTATTCCCTAAATAGATGATGTTTTAGTATTTTCACACTTATTAAGAAGTAATAAATACATATTTTATTAATTATTCTTTGTTTTTTTTTAAAACTATTTTGCTATTTTCAATAAATATATAACCTTTATTCACACTTTTCAATACTATTTCAGAAATTTGATATTCTTACAACCAATGTAAATTAAGTATTTTTTAATTTATAAATAAAATAACATTAATACTTCTAAAACATCATCTTTTGTGAAACAATACTAAATCTTAAAACATCATCTATTTAGAAACAGAGGGAATATTAATTTTCTTTCTTTAGAGTTTCTTTCGAGAAGCTAATTTAAAGCATCCATATAGGAAGAAAAAAGACTGAAACAAATGGATAACAAGTAGTATTAAATCACAGTTTTATCAAATGGTTTTAAGAAAGTAATTTTGAGAAAAATGACGATAAACAACGAGGGTGATGGTTCCAATGTGACAGAGGAGCAGCGATGTAAGGTCGTACCCATAGCTATGCTAAAGAATTTGCATGACAAAGAGCAAGGTCCATGACTGTAGGTTAATCTGATGGACAAAATCAAAACCCAAGTCGGCTGTTCATTTCACTACAAGCCTAACATTTTTACGGGACAAACCTTTTTCTTCAATTTTAACAGAATGTACAAGGCCAACCTTTTTCTTCAATTATATGCTCAGTCAACGCATTGACTAATACAACTGAGTCGGAAAAAAAAAACTAATACAACTGAATGTTCTACAGTGGGCCGAGGACATCCGCCTCTATGCCCAGCTGAGCCCAGTCAATATGTGATCACACTTTCGTGTAATCACTAATCTGACCACAAGAGTTACACAAATGACACCTTTCAATTTTTTTTGACGCCACACACGACATGTTAATAACGTCTCGGCGATTTCGTGTGTTAATCTGTGTAGAAGTAGAAGCCATGCTAATTTTGTCATATAGTTTACGTTTTCATTTTTAGCTGATGTTTCCAGAATCAAGACATTAATAATCTTTCTGTGTCATAAAAAAGATGTCAGTTGTTACTAATTTGTAGTAGTTTTTCTAATTACCACATAATACTCTGAATTCGATTTCGATAATGAAATGGGATTCCACTCAAACCCCGATCTCTTTATATAACAACTAAAAATCCTAACTATAAGAGGCTCTGATTAAGAGCTATCAAATTACTATTAATATTTATGGCAGATCAACGTGTGAAGTACCGAAGCATCTGCACCCAATCTAGAATATCAAGATTTGTCTACGAACTAAAATTTTGAAATGGAAATTTGGTTGGGTTTGCCCGATTAAGGCACTAATCATTTTTAATGATTCAAAGGCTTAACTAATCATTTATTCTCAATCATATAAAAATATTGTGCTCCCAATTTCACTCATTTCTGAGTCTGGGCAACTGGGTTATATCTTTCCCTTACTAAAACAAAACTTAAAAAAAAACTAAAAAAAAAAACAAAGAAAAAAAAATATGCATTGCTTTAGCAAAACAATTCGAATATATAAACGAATCAACCAGTGGAATCTTGAGGTAACTTGAAGCCAACGAATAGTATGAATGTGGAAATGTCAACCACCTAACCTTACCTTTACATATCATATATATTATTTGACCATCTCTAACCATATTCTTGGATCATGAAAACAAAAGCAAGCAAGCAGGACCAAACTGTCGCATGGAAAATTCCACAATGACCCCTTTGGCCACACCTTTATCAGTTCTCTATCCTGAAGAGGGCCGAGGGGTATTCTCGGAAAACAATTTAATCCATATTTGCCTTTCCTTGAAAACCAAGGGACATGCAAAACCACTCCAATACAAAGTACCTTCTCACCGAAATAGCTGAAACAAAGAGCTTATTCTTTTCTGACCACCAATGATATTCGATAAAATGTTCTATCCATAACTATTTATGAAGTTCGTGACGTTACATTTTCACATGACTCAATTGGAAACGACAATATGAAAAGTCACAAAACGCTGGTCGAACTTAAAAGAGGCGCGGGACAAGTCAAGATAAGACTTAACTTAGTCGTGACATGGAACACACGGCTATAATTTATAAAAATAAGACCGATAATTTGCTAACCAAGTCCTAGAAAAATATTTACACTACTTAAGTCAATTTGAGATTCTAACATTATTCTTAATATACAGATTGAGTCGTTAAAATATATACTACTATGACAAGTTTCATTCAAATTTTGCGTGGTTAGAAATGAGGGGAATTAACGAAGTTCTATAACATTCAAAATTATAAATAAAGTTCTAGTAATTTAATTTTTATCCCAGATCTATATTATTCAACCACGATATGTAGATCTTCCCAAATAGCGAGGTGGAACGATCATATGGAAGTCTGAAGGCTTTCATAATAACCCTTCATCAATATTTTTTCAATTTTATAAGTTCATTATTTAACCAAATTCTTTTTCACCGTAACTTTGAGTTAATTCTTGATATGGAATGCTAGGATTTGTCATACGTATACATCTACGTTAACCATTATCTTCTCAATCATATCGTTAATTTGTTCCCCATGTGAACCATGCCCGCTTTTAACACTATAAGTACAAAAAACGTAACATAATGACGACTACTAGAACAAAATATACAATCTAATGATTTATCAAAAATAAATAAATAGATATGGGTGTTTTTGAATATGCAAAGTCAAAGCTCAAGTTCAAAGCCTTCAAGATACTGTCTTGGACATTCAGGGAAGAAATCTCCCTGATCTAATCAACTTGAACAATTATTTATTTTTTGCAAGTGGGCATTGCTTGACAAACTATCAACACAAAAGCTATATCAAGAAAATGATTCAGATATAAAATAGGCATTAGTTATTCATAGACAGCTACTGAAACTTGATTGGCCACCAAACTATAAAAAAACTTCAGGAAGGCTGAAGTTAAAAGGCAAGTTAGAGTAAGACACATCAATATAACCCAAAACAAACATCATAAACTATAACAACATAACTAATGGCAAAGCGACAACTGTTGATGCTGGGAATTAGGACGAGCTTTCACATTATCGCCGCCGTGCTTGTGGCCGGAGTAATATTCAC